GATTTTTGTATTTTTGTTAAAAACCATACCTGCCCCACTATAAAAACTGATAGGTCAATCATCATCACAGGAAGCCCTTCAAGACTTGAAATCACCTAGCCGCCTTAATTTTTGACTAAAGGCAGTCCCATGAAGATTCATCAAACAATTTACTAATTCCATCAGAGTTTCTATCAGTCTCTCCAGACTTCTGATTCCGCCGCGTGACGTCCCAGATACCCTGGACAAGTAACAATCAGAGAACTGGATGATATCAACCCCAATAGCCAATCGGAATCAGTATTTTTCAATTCAGGATGCACCTAAAGGCTAAGCTTCTGAAATGATTAAGTCTTACCAAATCATTGTACCATATAACTCGGTAGAATAATACGTCAATAAACGTTGGTGCATTACTGATAACAAACTTAAACACCTAAACAGTGTGGTAATGCATTGCAGAAGAACGAGCAATCTTTATAGTTATAGCCTCTTTAGAAAATTAAAATTTTTTCCCAAACAACGCTTTTCGTGGAAATCAAGTTTGCGTTACCATAACAGGCTTCTAAAGGAATTTTTCTGTCTTGGAAGGTCTTACCTGCTCGCGCAGCGGCTCAATTTCGCGCATGGATGCCCGCATGGCTCCACGAGCACCGCAAATGCTCGAGTTAGCCCACGCTCGGTCTGACATTTCTAATGGTCTTAATTCTATCATTCAAATTTAATCTCTGGGTTTTGAATACATCAGCGCCCACAATGTTACCTTAATGTTGACAGGAACTTCTGTTTATAACCTAACTAAAAAGCTAGCTGGAAAATTAATAAATATGCTGTGCCGATCATATGAATTACAAAATGCCATTCAGCACGCGTTGCTCACAAAAAGATCTAATGAAATAATATGGATCTTCCTTCATATAATGTTCGGTCTAAGTTAAATAACTGACTTTTTATGCTCTCACGGTACGATGATGGCGCAGCATGAAGCATCTTTCGACTGCATCTTACTGCTGATTTATCACGCCTAATATTAGCAGATCGAGCTACATTGGGTTGGGTTTTGTTTCCTAAAAGTCGTAATCGTGTCTTCGCCTTTTCCAACCCTTTCAACGGTAATCGTCGCACTATAAATTACTTTTTCAGCGAAACGACGTCGATCGGCGTCGCAGAGTCCTAACATCATTCGTATACCGTATCGAGGTCTGCTGAAGTCCCAACTATCATACGCTACCAACAATACACAGAGACGAAAGACCCGTTCCTACAAAGGTAGCTGTATATTGCACCTGTTTATTTTTCGTCCTAGCGAATACGAGTTATTGCTGTTTATATTCGAAAGGCATGCAAAAATCTAACGTACGCCTATTTTGGTTCAAAACGAAATTCGAAGTTTGACTAGGTGCCTTGCGTCGATATAGCTTCCGCTACCGGTGTCTAGCGAGTTGTTTTTGTACGGTGTTCTATTTTGTTGTTGTCGTTGTTGTGGGCGTCCCTCTGAATAGAATGGGCTGCGGAAAGCGAACAGTATTGAGCACTTGGAGCTGGAGGTCTGTCTATCCTCTGCCTTTGCGTCTTTTCGAAAAGTGAGCAGAGTCTCCCGGGCGAAAAACCACCTACAACCCACGGCGGCTGGACAGCCGTACACACTTATATGGATCTATGTTGGTATTTCCCTTGAAATACACAACTGTACCTAGTATCTGTTAGGGAAGATGGCGGAGGAGGTGTTCAGCTGCGTCTACAGCGTGTGCCATATGAAACCTTATCAGAGCCCCCGTAGCCTGGGGACATGGTAAGGAGATGCAAAAATCGATACAGGAAGCTCCGTGTTGCCCTGTGTTACAAGGAAGGGAATCAAGCAAGATCTACAAAACGAAGCAAACGCTGTAGTACGGGAAACCTCTAATTCTAAATGTTGTTTTCAAAGGGCCGGTGTCAAAAATATGCTGAAAACAGATAGAGATAGCACGTCTTGCTTATATGCGAAATATAAAGAAAAGTAACACACAGTTTCAGAAACATTCAGGCTATTACAAATAGACGTGTATAGAGCGTTTGAGTGCTCCCTAACAAAAAAGTTCAATAAAAGTAATACTCCCGAGCTAATTAACGTTATAATTGCGCCAAACTAGAAAATTGACGCTACATTGACCAATGCTTTTTTCCCGTTTGGCAATAAACGCGAATCTCTGATAAGAACTTTTTGAAGTTCGATTTCTCTAGCTTGTGAAATCTCCCAAATGTTCTTAGAGGGTAATATTTAGCACTATGTAGATAAACTCTACCATTGTGTATTTCCTTCTTAACAAACAAAAAAGTGTTGTCTTGTATTTCCGTAGGATAATCAACAGGTGCCGTAGTTATTCTGTATAGTTTTCGTTTTCTTTACGACGAAATATCACTGTGATACAATTAGCTAGGTTTTCGAGCGCCGCCAGGCCATTATTTTTTCGCGTCGTCAAAAAATAATACTTTCCTCCCGGAAACGAAATATACGACCGTAGTTGATCTTATCATTCAGTATTGATAATGCATTTTGTGTTTGCACAATCATTTAGGGTCCCGGACACGTGCAGCAACAAATGAAACAACCAAAAGTAAGATTATTTCGTAGGACTTAGCTAGTTTCAAATATTGCCATAAGCCAAGTTATAAAGAAGACTCACAAAGAGGGATTCACCACTACGTAGTTTCAGGCCTTTGGCTCTATGAGTACGTTGGGCCTGGTTAGGACGAGTATATAGAGACGGGATGAAGCTACTTCATATGTGATGTCCAGGATAGGAACGAGTATCCTTGAGAAACTAAGCCTTCCACCCACACTTTCGTTTTTACTACTGGTCGTGGTATTCTTCCCAGAAGAGTACTCGCGTCACTGCCATACCTTTCTCCTTGCAGATGACCCCCACAGGAGAGCAGCCATAACAAGCTGCTAAGGTTGAGCGAACGGCGGCCAGGGACGAACATCGTTTCCGTCAAAACTTGTATGTTCGGTCAGCTTCCTAGTCTCCTGGTTCGTTGCTTGCTCTGTTGCTTAATCTAACCGCGCTGAGAGACGATGTTCTCACGACAAAATACAGTTAATCTGGAAGAAGAACTAGTAGCACTATAGCTGTTATAGATGTCCGCGGTCTGATGGGCGACAAGTCAACTGCCGTCGCTATGCCTGACGGCGGTGAGATTCCGCCTCGGGGGACAGATGACCGAGTTGTTCAGGAGCGCGCATGCAGAACAGAAGCGGGAGCTGCTATAGGTATTGTAGTCTATGGTCATCCAGACAGGCCAAGCCGCTTGACAGCTAACGGATGTTCACTGGGCCACTCACCGGAAATACAACGCGACGTCATAGGAAATGGTTACTCTGTCTCGTACTCACATCGCTGCTGTCCCTCGGATAAGGTATAAGGCACCCAACTCCACTTGATTGAACTTAATAAGCGAATCGGTCACATAACTAACAAGTTACTAATTCAATATCCTTTGTAAATGTACCTTAGTTAGCCTATATTTCATAAACGTTGTATAATTAATTTGCACACTAATATGCTTTTATTAGTAGTATCTATACATGTATGTCTATGTATGCACACATGTGTAAATATTCATATCGTTCTTTTGGCTAATTGCGAACTGGTACCAAATCATCGCTCCTTAGTAAACGCTAGTGTTTGATCGTATATCGTCCTTCCTATCCACGCTCCTACTCCTTTGCCCTGTTCACAATGCCCTAACAGGTCTACCACATCTCCAGATGGACAATGCCTTAATACCGAATACGATCAATAACAGAAGACTCAACAGACCCTAGAGGTACTTATAAGATGTTTCCCTACCAAAAAAACAGCGAATTTACTTAGAATAGTTAATTTTTGTGTATAATTCAAAACAATTTACAACAGTATTGTATTAATTAAACCGATCACCACTATGGACCAACGTGACAATAGCCGCGATATTTTCTGCGTAATTCCTATGAAACGGAACAAATTTAGTTTAGGTAACTGAAAGTCTTTTCGTAGCTGGTTGTAAGCGAGCTCCGCCTAAACTGCCCTTTAGCGATTTACCTAGATGACCAAATGACAAATATATAGATTTTACAGTAACCGGCATCGAGCCCGTAGCCAGGCTCAAGGCTAAGTAACTTGAACTTAGGCTGAACATTAAAAATCATTGCTTCGAAAACAACCGTATAAGTGTATTGAGCCTATGTCTCAAAACTTAACTCTAATATCCCGATACTCTAATAATATCCCGATTGCTTTAAGGCGTCAATAGGATACTGTATGTTTTTTTTTGCATTTTTTATTTGCATATATTGTAGCATTTTTATCATAATAGGCAATCACGTAGAATATTTTTTCCCAGCATCAACCTTGATCATGATCTGTACGGGGATCTCGCACCTCTGTGGAAAAATCTTTCCTAATTGAACTGCTGATTGCATCACAATATAATCCTAAATAGTGATTTTTGTGATACGTTTTCTGCGTTGAGCGGAGAGAAAAATAAAAGCACTTTGCCACCGGGCCAGGGCAGGCAGTAGCTCATAGAAGCAGCTTGTGATCACCTAGCTATTGAACTTTCACTTGTGGTCGCCATGGTGACCTGTTTGCCTGCTACACCTAAAGGACACGTGCTGATATGGGATTGGATCCGATCGTAGAGACACTTTGTTTCGCACCGGGAGCTAAGCGTCTTGTGCAATGCCAAACAACAATACGGGACGTAAGGTAAAAACAACTCGAACAAGAACGTATTGAAGTAGTAGAGACGACCAGTGTTTTGCCCTAAATTGAATATAGGTTACTCACACTAGCTTAGCGAAAATGTGCTTTAGACGACAGGACGTTAGAGCTTAGCGAAAATGTGCTTTAGACGACAGGACGTTAGGAGGACAGACATGCACCAATATCGAATGATAAGTTAAGTGGTACAATTCGATTACTACTCTCGCTTACTTGATAGTTGGATCGAGCTTACTGCCGCTTACACTGCCCTTAGAATTGTTATTTTTTCAATGATTTTTTTTTCTTTCTTTTAAGAATATCAGTCGTTATTATCAGGCTGTCTGATTGATTATACTAATTTGACCAGCTGTGACGAGACTTCTGAGTTCAACGCGAGCGAATTTTCCGTTGTCAGTTTTCGGAAGTTCATCCACGAAAAAGACTCCACCGTACAGATGCTTGTAGTAAGCAAATTCTCCTAGAAAAAAAGAACAAATATTTCTCACTATAAATGAGTGCACTAGCTATCGGATAAACAACCGCTAGCAGTAGCAAAAATCACTACCAACTCAAATGAAGTCACAATAATATTTTTTTAAGCGTACTACTCTATCTGTAATTGCATATATCTTTCTAGTCAACGATGTGGTGCTATGGTTACGAAGAGCACTCTGGCACTAAAGAGCAACTCAGACTCATGAGTGTACGTTTAAAGTACGATATATATGGTTGCGACATCTTTCTAAAGCGGTATCAATTTATACGCAACGTACGTTTAACCATATCGAGAAGTTCTTGTTTGAGTTCATCGCTTGGCGAATGTCCCTTATTAAGGACAATGTAGGCGGTCGGCGCCTCGCCGTACTTCTTGTCCGGGAGTCCAATGACGATGGCCTCTTTTACTGCCACGTTCTATAGAAAGATACAATCCACCATTGGTCAAATTCGTAAGTCATATACGCATATAGACATTGCCTCGTGCCGGAGGCCGGCCGTCTGGAGCAACAACTTAACGGCAGTACTGGAAAAAAACTCTAAACATTTAGTTGTCAAATGTAATGCTCTCTTTTAGCTACTGTTATATACGTCCGGACAAGAATAGATATACAGTAGCTTTGTAGAGGATTCGACCGCTGTTATTATGGTAAAGCAAAAAGACACTTTATCTTCTAATAAACAAACATAACACACTAATTAACTATTCAAAAATGTAACTAATCTGCATTTTTTATTCGAGATAGACCGAAGTTCAAAGATGTCAATTGTTGACACTTGCTTAGCATAGGACAATAGTTCGCACAACTAGTCAAGGGTACTTGCATTTTATTAATTCAGGTACCAGTCAAAATGCCGGGAAAAAGACAAGGCACATTTTCCGAAGTTCATCTCACGGCTGCATCATGAAGACGTGTATAACATAATATCGCTGTTTATTTCTGACAATGTGATTCACAATTTAGCGATTTTAAACTACAGAAACCAACGAGCTAGCGGAGTAAAGTGCTTCGAACTTCAAAAATGAATCGAACTTCAAAAATGCGAGATGACAACTTCGTTGTCATAGAGATCATTAGGAACTGAACGGTAAATGCTCTGAAGGCTGCTGAATCGTTAAAAAGGAACAATGTGACAGTATAACAAGCCTGGGGTGAAACTTTGTCCTTAGACGAAGCCATTATTTCCAATTGGCTTGCTTTTGTGCAGGAATTGTCATGACGAGGTTCAGCATGTACACTTTATAGCCCGCGTAGCAGTATCCTAAGAATCTCATTCGCTGGAAACCGCTGAGGCACTCCTGGCCAAGAACAACCTTCAGTTGGCTTGCATCGAAGTTTCGGAAAATCCAGAAAATCGAGAACTAATGCTGTGTTCGTTATTTTACATATGACACATTTCACAGCTCTCCTCTGGAGGCGACATCGTTCTTCCCAAAATATGGGGAAGCTCATTCCCTTGTCAACTCGCACATCAATAGAACACCTCTTTTTCGATCGCCTTTAAGGTTTAAAGCCCCTTTCATCTTAGACTGGAAGACGTGGAGGTAGCCCAGTATTAGTCAGGGTTTTCGTTATTCTAAAAAATTAAATTAGTAACCCTATGAGCCGAATATATTCCCTCAATATTTAACACGTGCGTTTACCTATGCCATGTAGCTGTTGTGGTGTTAACTTTTCAAAATTTTTGCCAAATTCTGTTGTTGTTGTTGTTGTTGTGTGCCATATTGAACAAAAAGTAATACGCAGATACGAAGAGCTGTTGAATAGCTTCGGCAACCTAAGGAAGTAGTACGTTCAACTTCATCGTTTGTCCTAATTCAATATTCATATTCGGCTTAATTTTTCGAAACAGGACTGCGTCCGTAATCAAAATACATCTGCCATGCAGGCGAACACGTTTCGTCGGTCGAAGTTTTTAGGAAGTAATTGTAGGTCCTAGATAGGCTCGAAGTATAACTGTTATGTATCGTTATGTAAAGATAATATTAAAATGCAAATATATCGACCTAAAATTAACATTCGTTAGCTATTGTTCATAGTTGATACAAATAATATATCGATATACAGTGGTTGTTTTGGTGTCGGGCGCGAATACGTGCCGCGTTAAGGAATAATAATCCCTCCCCTATTCGCTAACCGCTTTAGGAGATGATTTTAGAAATTGCCAATATTGCAAAGTAAAAGCAAACTTATATAGGCTACCTGAAGTAATAGGTCCTCTAACTCGGCAGGAGACAGCTGGTTGTCTAGACACTTGATCATCTGTTTTAGGCGTTCGCATATATAAAATTTACCTTCTTTATCCATATATCCGTAATCACCTGTTCAAGGAGTCAACAAAAACTGGATAATTAGTAATGCAAAATTGTATCAAGCTGATTCCATGGAAGTTACAAATACATTAGCTCAGTCACTGTATATGCAAGTTATTACAGAGCTACACCACTTTTTTTTTTTTCTATTCAATAAAACGAAGTCTATATTTCCGCACCATATCACTGTCGTTTCTTCCATGCCTGCTGTATAATAAAGTTCACTCATTAATAATATAAATTCACCTGTAAGCAGCCAGCCTTCCTTGGTAATGGCTTCAGACGTAGCATCGGGTCTCTTGTCGTATGACTTCATAATAAAATCACTCTTGACCGCTAACTCGCCCTTCAATATTGGTTTTAGATATATAAAAATACTATTAGCAACTGAGTAAATTGTAGCGACAATTTCGAATCGGAAATTATTCCAGCGCAATAAATGTCTTTTTTTAGGTGTGAATGATAGGATGATTGATCTCCTTCCTAAAGCATGGCGCGGTGCGGTAAGGGGTCCATGTCGAGCCGACCGATATAACGTCGGCGAATTGCCAAATTTTCACTCACCAAATGACCATTTTGGCCCCCTTTTCAAGCATAATAAAATACATTCGTAAGCAGACAAAAACGACGGAACAACTCTATCTTAAGGGTATATATTGTAGTAATAGCATACCTTTTCGTAGGGATTGAGCATACTGCCGTTTTTCGTATCGATGACCTTCATGCGCGTATTTGGATATGGTCTCCCAACTGACTGGGTTGTGCACTTGTTATCCTCGGTTATCGTGACGATAAAACATTCACTCATACCATACACTAAAAACAGCCCATGACAACAAGCAGTTTTATGTAGCCACAATCAATTTCTACTGATTTTATTTGGTGGCTTATAGTCTAAAAGTATGAAACGATGCCATGTTAGCAGTTCGATAAAGTCTGTTTGTCTCGGCCACGTAGATCACCAGAACTATTCCATGCAAATACGTTTTTGTAAATAATTCTGCAGATATGGAAAACAGCATATTTTCGAATGATCACGATATTGATGAGATCAGACGGGGGCATCGATCAGGCTGTTGCCCGAATTGCATACATGACCAAATACTTCATAAGTTGGCCTGCTATGAAAGGTTGCCGCGGATCCCTTGTCAGCTTGTTGTAGGTTAAGTTAATTTGAATAGTACGCCATGTCTGAAACAGATTTAGAGGCCTTACTAGCCCGAATATTTCAAGTGCCGTATAGCTAAAAAAAGGTACAAAATAAGGTATCAAGAATATTCAATACGGAATCGTCACACATTCTCTGTGCGACGGTGTCCTTTACTCGAAGGAGCAGCCAGAAAGGCGCCAACTCATCGCGCATTCAGCTGGTCTAATGGATAGCAATTATCTCTTAGGGAGATTTAAGCTTTTTCTGTTGTTCAAGATTTCCATTATTGCTGACCAAATAAAACCGATTGATTCTTTCTTTCATCATGATATCAGTACAATTCGTTGCTAATCATGTTTCATAGAAAAATAGGCCAACCAATGGCGGCTGCTACTATACACCTATTCCCTCTTCCCGTTAATTAATACCTACTGTTAATGAAAAGTAGAAATAACAGCGAATTTCAAAGGTACCGCTTTACCTAAGTGGGTGTGGTCACTACAAGCCCTGAAGTCAAAAGCAGGAAATCGTCTCTAATTCATTCTAATACGGGCCCCCAATAGATTATCTAGAAATTTATTTCCTAGAAACTAGCCAGCTGAGATACGAAAAGACATCGTTTCTTGGACAATGTTTGTCACAGTTTTACGAGTTGAAATTAAACTTACGAGTCTGCTACACGCATATATAATAATAATAGCAAATACGGAATAACAGTAAGAATACGTTTTAAACGTTTAGTCCTATCATAAACGTGAGACAAATAGAAACGTACTGAACTTTGCTATCAAAAAAAGCAGGGTGCTGATATTGCTACTCCGTCCTGCGAATTCATTCAACACGCTAATATAACATTTTGTAACATTTTGCGCCATGATGAAATGAGTGGCCTTCCTACCAATTTGAAAGGCTACATACCCTATATTTTCTACAAATTTCGAGGCTTAAAAGAGATCAATCCATTTTAGCTCTGACTCACAGATTCGGTAGCTTTGAAGTTCAAGTAAACCGATCAGAGCTTCTGACCACGAAACAAAAATAGTACTGCCTCCTACTACGACGTGCTTTACTGAACGACACGCCCCCGGAGCTTGCCGTAATATTTCAATCAGTCTCTGGAGGATGACCGGAAATACCATCAACTCCGTAACCTGTAAATGAGACACAATAGTTCGCTGTAGGCAGTTGCCAACACCTTGTTTTTTGTGTCGATTAATATAAGCTTGCTAGAAAATCGCTGCCGACGAAAAACACAATCTACGCAATCATTTTCCTTAAGCTAGCCAAAAAGGTGACCAATATATACGTAACAAAAACAATTCATTTTTACCATTATTACGTTTTGCACTATAAGAAATAGTTAAATAACGAGTAATGAATCAAACCATGATACAGTAGAGCATGTTATACAATAGTCTGCGAATTGCCGGATCCCAAAAAGTATCCGGCCAAAGAAATTTTTCTATTATGAGATACTTATCTAGTAATATATATATAGAGCGTGTGCTACCAGAGTAGGCAATACCAGGCATTAGACGCCTAAGGAACGATTGCCAAGATATCATCGAGTGATTTCGCTTCAAGAACCCGTGCTTAGCCAACGATTAACATTCTTACACCCAGCTCTAGTCCAACTTGAGTGCGCTTTCAATCAATAGTCGATCTTCCATCGATTACGGCAGAACCGTCATGACATTGTAATGCACTATAAAAATAACAAGGTTCCGTTTAAACCATGGAGGATCATGTCGCGATAACGTCTACGTCAGACAAGCTTAAAAAGACACTAAAAATTCTAGGTAAAGCTAGTGCGTAAAAAAGAGATAGTGACACTGGTCATATAAACATTGTGTGCCGGAGCGTTACAGGCGGAACTTCCCTTGCGAAACAAATCTACATTCTATGACAAAACTCACGGTGGAACGTGTAGGGAAAACAATTTGTTTAAATGAAAGTTGCCACGATTTAGTAATAGAGATAAAGGTATAATTAATAGGAGAGTCGGGAATGCATTACCCTGTATGTTTCGCATATGTTGACGAAATTCTCAAGATCCTGATTCGTGTTCGCAACAACGGAGGTGGCGCCGATGTAGATTGCCAGCGGGAAAAAAATCGAGCCAGACACATGGCTTATCGGACACCACTGGAGAATCGTACCGGAGCCGCGTAAAACTTGCGTACCTTCCTCGCTTTCAGTAAATGCATTTTAATGTAAAAACAGCAATCAATCAAAAGTTATCGCAAGCTAAAACTCGTATCTTTCGAAAATTATTGAAAGCCTACGGAAAATGGATTTTCGTTTCATGCAGTTGTTAACACGAGATGACAACGTTTGTTGATAATAGTCACTAACCTCTTAGGGCTTCCGTTTGTACAGAGTTTTTCTAGTTAGTTCACAATACATTCAATGGTTCCTATCAATAGTTCACTTTCAAGAATCAGGCCAAAGTGCCTTGATTCAAAAAACAATCAGTAGCGCCTTCTTATTTCTGCGAGGATTTTGAGAGCGATAACTCGCGCCTACATTTTTGGGGGGTTTCGTCCTACACATCGTTACATCGTTTGACGAAACGACGAAAACGAGCCCTCTTTGGCCTAAAATATACTAAACGAAGACTGATCTCAGTTTTAATCTTAGTAATAAGTAAATAATACTAAATGGAAATAGATTGATAAAAAAAATGTCTCTGGGAAATGGGAAACGTATGTAGCCAATAGAATCGTGGGTGCCGTTTGCAGTTCATGCTGTTGTAGGAACTGGTTGTGGGATTTGTCCTTTCGTCACGCGCCTTACCTCGAGCAGATAAGTTGCGACTGGTGGGTAAAGTGCGTGTGCAACACTCCTTTAGGTAAGCCTGTCGTACCCGAGGTAAATGTGATAAGAATCTCATCTTCACGTGGACAGACGTCTTTAGGAGGGCTAAACGGGTGAGTGCTGCAAATTTTATGGTGTCTTTAGCGTTGCAACTATTGCTAATGTTTATAGACAATATAAAACAGTTTCAAATCTAGAGCTTTGTGATGATAGATATATCTATTTCATCATCGAGTAAGCAGTACGATGTCAGACATATTGCATTTTATCAAACAGGTATATACCTGGTGAGTAAAAGCTGTGTCACCGTCATGAGTTCTGGATGTGACGCCGGTGGGCTTTCCATATTCGCCAGAATGACAGTCTGTGAACCGTAAATGAATAGGTATCTAATTTAAATATAATGAATAAATTACTAATGTAAACTAGGGCTGCTTAAGGTCAATTAATGGCCAGACCTTTGAGACGAATCTGACCTAGGCTGCAGTTTAAAGGTTCGTGCAAATACTTGTACTTCCCGAAAGATATATTTGGCAAAAGTAAACCGTTATGGGTTTGGATGTCAGCATAAAATCCAAAGGTGTAATGTATACTTAGAATTGTTATGAAAAGAGCTTAACCTTAACTTCTGGAAGCTGGTCAAGACTCTTTAAAGTCACCTCGTATGCCGCGTCGTCCGCAATGATAAACTTCACATTTGCAGTTGCACATTGATATACCATTTCTCCTGAGAAACAATAAACGCTCGTGCAAGTTTGATCGTCCTTATGTTTGTTTTCGGCTACGTTCTATAGTTCAGGTTATGTCAATCAGATAAAACGGACGTACAAAAAGCGCAATTATGTATTTTCTTCAAGTAAATGGCACATTTAGCAAAATTTAGTTTAAACAATTGCGTTTAAATGATCCCCTTGTGCTATAAGATTCAGTAGCTTTTGCAGAGGAAATTTCGTATGTTTTAGGCGGGAAGAACATCTGGAAAGATTAGAACTTGAAAATTATAAGATTCTTACGGACTACAAGGGTGGTTTTGCATGCGACAATTGTTGCATTGATGAAATGTACCGCGAGATACGCTAGAAAAATGTCTATGGAGTTGTTGCCGTGGAGCGCCACGCGATCTCTCGCGGACATTCCAAGCTCTTGAAAAGCTCCAGCCAGCCGCTCAACTTCATGAAGTACATCATTGAACGTCAACGTACGACCCGTTCTATGTTCAATCTGAAATCGTAACGCAAGATCCGTACGACAGACATTTCGCTCACTTAGGATTTAGTACACTAAACGCACCCACCGCCTCTACGTCCTCTGAGTTGGTCAAACGTATCAAATTTTCGGTATATAGTCAAATGGAAATCCCAAACAAACGCTCCACAAGCTACAAAAGACCCTTCATTTTTTATAATCCAACTCATCTCAGTCTTTCATCCTCCGTTTTTGCTCTACTTACCACCGCAATTTTATTTCCAAAAAGCTGACAGCGATTTCTGTAAAATATGTGAGCAGGCACTTCTTCAATCACACGGTCCTCGAGCCTGGACGTGACAATCATCTTTAGCAGGCCGATGGTCTGTTTGAGAGTCTGTTCCACAATGACCGAAGCACCTTAGTGACGCATAAAAAAGCTTTTTCTTGGCTATTAAACACTACATTAAGCAGGTTCACCTTCGTTGCTCCGCAAGGGGCTTTTTCTTCTTACCGATGGATACAATCTCCCAAACGATTACTCGATGATCCTCCTCGTCTGCGATAAAGTGTGTCACAACTAGATTCTATACCGCGGTAGCTTGTCTGTCTCAACGACAATAGCCTTGCGTTTGTTTTCGACTCAACTACGCAGAATTTCAAGATTACTATTCGAATAATCTATAAAACGTTTCTATTTTTCCTTTTCGCCAGCGAGTGCCCGTATCAGTGATCTGTATTATACAAGCTACTAGGTTATTTAACGCATTTCACGACAATTACTGTTCAACATTATCTCTTACTAGGTGTTAGATAAAAATGGAGCCAGTCGGTATGCTATCAGCGCGGGGTCGTCGTAGGGGGCCATTCGATAAGCGAACGAATCGACATCAGTAAAAGCAATTTAATACGATGGATGAATTAGTTTACTTAGATAACCTTAATTGAACTACGGATAGTGACCGTGTCGCATACAAGTTCAGCGTTATATCTACAAGAAAGAGTCTTAGAGAAGTTATTTAGATCTGTATCGTTGCAGTAACTTGTCGCGGGAACAATTCGAAGACAGGCTATGGCTGTAACATTATAGCAAAGGTACGGAATCAATAACGCGAACCCAGATAGTACTGTATACGTACTAGAACCGTTCTATAAAGGCAGACTTCGGTATCAGGCAAGTGACCCAATGACACCGAATGATAAGCGTTACATACTTCTTTTTTTAGCCTAGAATGCGTTTAAGTATCGTCTATCAGCAGGACGCATACACGTAGCGAACACGATATCTATTAGTAGCTTCTAGGAAAACTCGACACATAGCTAAGCGCTTTTAATGGCGTGACGGACCTGCTTTTTTTTTTCACTTTAGGACATTCTTTGGAAAGTTGGATAATCAGAAGATAATTAAAAACTTCCACGTTCTCTATATTTGATACAACTATGTCTGGGCTCTTCTGGGAATACTCATCTGCAACTAAATTCCGCTATATGAAAATGATCTGATACACTTACTTGGCGCCCTTCAACTGCCAACAACGGTTCAAACAGTCTCGAACCTCAAAGTACGTTGGTGAGTCGGGCTAGCTTCTGCATGATTATTATATATAATATATTACATGTATTATACCGAGTGCACACAGAATGTGAAACGATGAGTCGGAGAAGTAAAAATCCCACTGTATTAGCATACATCGATGTCAATGCTCCGTTACGTCAACCTATGACAGGCATGATGCCACGTCGAGGCGTACCGTTAGTGTAATCCCAGACTGTTAACGCAGTGCTTGGGGTTGACTCTAGTACGTATTGCAGAACATTGACTCGAGCATTGCCGCTGCCTTTTGTACAACTTGGTCTGCGGTTATAAAGGATTAGCAGATGCGGATTTGAGCGTTGCAGGACACATCATTTTAATAGAGATAAAGTCGGTCATGTCTTTTAGATCCCTATATCCGCTAGGCAGGAAAAAGTAATCCAACTAGTTAAACAAAGCGTCTAGCGAACTTTGTTCGACGGGATTAGATGAATTTTTTTGAGATACAATTGAAAAAAGTATTCTTTTCTTTTTTTTTTTTTTTTTTTTTTTTTAATTAACCACGAAATATTGCAAGAACTCGTAAGAAGTGAGGTAAATTGATACAGAGACTATAGTTTTATTAGTGGCTGTTTATACCGCGCGACGTAATTATACATAATTTATGTAGTGAAAACTGAGGGATATTTTTTTTTGTATTACCGAAGAAAGCACCACGAAACGATAACTTATAATGGAGGTCCTTAATTCAGACCTGGAAATTAAATAACCAGTTCAGGATAAGTTGCGTAGGAAGTTAAATTTTAATCTCGTTTTTGCCGTGGTTCACGAGGAAACGTATGACATAAGCAACTTCTTCCGCCACCTGCTTCAGTTACCAGCCACTTTCGATGTGTTATTACAGCAAAATCGATGCTCGTAAAAAAATACTCTAAAATTATACTGGATTTAAATTCAAGGCATAATGCTATGAAATGTCCCGTTAGCTATCAGTATCATTCTTATACAACGGTAACTTTATCTTGGCCACGGAGCTGTTCATAAGTTGTGATTGTGAAATCGTAAAGAGCGTAATACCGTTTCGATGGTGAATTCATTCGATAACATATACGCACAGACATTTATCTGCTGTTAAATGCTTTCCATAAAATCGAATTGTGGTTTGATTCTTATCACGGACTTCGCTTACTCATTGCCTGTCCCTTCACGTCGGATCAACACAATTTGGTGAAGTTCGATGAACAACCCGCCAGCCTGTGACGTTTATCGGTCGCCAATATTTGTTGCCTCTGTACAATCGATACGATTACACTGAGCGACTATGAAGTGGATGCATGATAGGTAAGCGATTTAACACGTGGCGTTTACGGTAAACGTCAAATTAACTTACCTAAACAGTCCACTTAAACTTAAACGAACATAAACGGATCATATGTCGACTCGTAGATCGTATACACTTGTGATGAACTGTGATAAATCAAGGCCAATGCACGGTAACGGGAAATGATATGTTGTTCCATAATCCATATGTATACAGTTTCCACGTCTGAACATTATGGCAGCCATATTTACGTAATATGAACGGTGGCGATGGGAGAACTTTGCCATATACAAAAGAACCAAAACTTCTACTTTTAGCTTCATACATATTCGAAGTGACAATGTAATCGAACATTGCCGTTGTACAACCAACTAAACATAAATTAAAATATAGCTTTAGCCGAAATGTTCTCCTTCTGTAGTAGTCTTCTAATATGTAGGTGTCGTTTCAAGATCACGATAGATTCAAACAGCAATTCTTATTTAAGATTTAGTCGAATTTAGGAGCATTGATAAATCTAGTGTAGCAGTCTATGTAGTTATTGTTCCAATGGCAATGAAAACTTCCAGAATTTCTACGAGGGTTTTTTATTTACATATAGGAAAGTTGAATGTTGAATAGTATCGGACATCTCCTTCTATGATAGCATATTGGTTCTGTATGGCTATTAAATACGCGGTGTTTGTGAAGTAACTTCCTTGTGTCGGTCATAGATGCGTGCGCAACAAAAGAGAACTATTATATTAGAATTCCGCGCTTTCGTCCGTAGTATTTAATCGACTTGCGAGGTTGTTAAGTTCTCCCTAAAACAAAAGAGAGAAGATCAAATCTTTAAGTGACACAAACAAGCTAATCAGATTAAATTCTCACGATTCCGGATTACAAGAGAGCAACCAATTGCTAGGTGATTCTAATTCTGATGGCGAGGTCTATCGCAGATAAAAAAAAAAAAAAAAAAACACTTTGAGACAGAATCCAAACAGAAAATGGAAGTGAATAGTTTTTTTCTAAATGGCGCTAAGCCGGTCGTATGACTTCCATAAGTTACTCGATAAATCAACTGCCAGGTGTGTTCTAGCGTTAGTTCGGTAAGTTTTGTACCATTGAACGACTACTTAACGTTGACTGAAATAGGCGTAGAGGATGTTTAATCGTACAGGACGATATTTACAGACTTCACTGCAAAGAAAGAGATATTTGAATCGTCCCACTATATCAGTACCACGGTATATGGGTTACGATACAAACAAAGGGGCACATTTAACTTCTGGAATAGGTTCACTGGAAAGATCTGTTCAGTTTACCCCTTGTTCTTGCTCATCATCATCATCATCGTCGTCGAAACTTTCCTCATCGCCTGCATCCTCCATATCTTCTGTCTGATCATCTTCCTCCTTCGAATTTGAAATCTCCTCACCTCGGAGATTTCTCATTCTCAACTGACCCACCTGCAACGCGTCTGCGCAATTGAACTTGGAGAACAGCGCTTGTATCTTAAAGATGAATGTCTCGAGAAGGCGCCGTGCAGTTGGCACCTGCGGCAATGAAGGCAAATCGCAATCCGTACATGTTTTCGTTACATTCGTTTCATATTAGAACGTAAATTGAAACCTAATTAAATATACGAACGCCGTCGTTAATAGTAAAATCTATGTTAGAGACGCGAAAAAACGTTGCTGAGTTTGATGTATTTTATATGTACATAAAGTGGGAGCAACAGCGAGAGAGAGAGAGAGAGCCATTACCTGTCTTGCGAGAGCTATTTGTTTAGCAGCATTGGTCTTGAAATGTGAACATGTATGTTGCATTACTCTGGTAGACTGCTGAAGTGTCTTGACAAGCAAAAGGACTTCATCCGTGCGAGCCTTGAAGCTGGTTTCTGCCACCGCCATTCCGTACTTGATAAATACGTCCAGCGTTTCGCATGCGGTCTACTCGATAATAAAGGCCACACGAAAAAAGCAGCTAGTGAGCCTACGTCTGCCAATCAACTGATAATTTCCTTATTCACTCCAGTAATTTGCGGTTAAATTTCCAAACAAAGTGATTGTTACTGTCGCACTTCCTAAGTTGGTTAGCGTTATCTGGCAACAATTCAATGGACTCTGAATAGTAAAACGGAGGTAGAACTAAATTAAAAATGATAACTTGAAAAAATTAGAAGGTAGAATGACCTTGAGCCCGCATGAAGCGTTGAGGTTAGTTGCTGATATTTTCACTACGTCCAGTAGCAATCTGAGGGTTTTCGCTATCCGAAGCCATTGCGTTAGCCGGTCTTGTCCGTCTGCTTGTGCTCCGCACATCGCTTTGACGCTGCGGACAAAATACGATGCAATCGTTTTGTAGCAGGCGGTCAACGTGTCCCTGCAAAAACTCTAAAGTTAATATAGTTGAACGAACATAAGGAAAAGACGTTTACAAATATGTTTTGACGAAGAAATAAGTTACTTCTAAATTATGATGGCGAAGCGCGACCAAGTCACAACTTACAAGATGTAGGCAAACGTTTGAAAATGCTTTTCTCTATAGACCTGTCGTAGTGATGAAGTGAAACGAACTTATCACCTGGCAATAATCGGAAAGATGGTTGATCTGGCATTTCCGCTAAGTTCAGGGAAAACGGTTTCAGAAAGATACGCGATTTTTTCTAAACGATCGTCAGTTTCCTCGATGTAGACTGTCATCAGAGTCTAGAACGCAAATCCAACAACTTGGAGCCGTTATAGTTTCTGTATAAAAGTTGCTAATATTAGCAGCAAGCATTCCTTCAAGTAGCTGTGCCACGCTCCTTACTTTATCTAGATAAGTCAACATGATTTATTCTGGTCCTTTCGGTACAGATTCTCTTTCAATCCCTTTGCGAGTGGTGTTGTGAAGCACTTATCTGATTATATCGGGAACTTTTACTACAAAGGTAGGGCCAGAAGTGAGGTCGGTGTGAGCACGAGCTGAACATGAAAAAACATACTTGAGCTGATTTTGCTATTCGAGCACTCTTGTCCTTGTTTGATCGTGGCCAATCCCTTCGTAAAAACTCTTCGGCGACACCCAGAAGACGACGCTTATTAGCATCTGCATTCGAAGCCGTTTTATCGAGGACAGTTAGCAGTAATTGCAAAAGCGCGGCTGCCGTTTCCAAATCGGCGACCGACGTAGCTAACTCGACAAAATACCCGAACACCCTTCTGCAAACGGTTCAGACAAACAGTTTTCACGTACAGAGATATCAATCGTGCAGACACGCGCCATTTGTTCAATGTTAATCCAAGTTACAACTTCGATAAGTGTCTAATAACCAAAGATACAGGAGATCACCGCGTAAAGTCAGGATACTGGAGCTTCAACTTCATAATTAGGATTTTTTGATGCGACTGAAACCTTTTAGGAGCATAGACCCGGCAACATTGTTTGCGGCTCCATGGGGGCTATGTAGATTAGGTTTACAGGCACAAAAAAATGAGCAACAACTCCTGCGACATGTTCGCTCAAACTTATAGCGTGATAAAGACAACATATGTGTGCGTATAAATTTGAACGATACTAGAAAAGTTAGACCTACCTGTGAAATTCAACGACATCACATTGGGTGCGAAACTGGGTAGACCCAACCCGAAGGGCAATCATATTTAGAGCTTGGCGAAGCACCTGTAGACAGTCAACGACATGAGCATCATGCAATTCATGGATTACGAATATAAACATCGTTGGCATTCGTTCAAAGCTCACTAATGGTCTTGCTTCGGTTTCGAATCAAATGCCCTTAGTGTTTGAGCAGGTAGTTACAAGGGTCTGGGTATCTTCCTTGTATATAAAGAATTGTCTAACCTTAGCGTTCCGTGGTTCATTAAACCCTCTCCAAGAAAGCAGCGTATTGAAAATCGAGAACAGCAGTCGAAGACACAATATTTCGTCCGAGCTTAGAGCGGAATCACTATTGTCCATATATGTGTCCTGATCGTTGCTATTGTGAACATGGCCCGATGAGACCTGTGGAATAAAAGGCATTCATGTTTGATTTCCAAGTAAAATCTCAATGATGTACTTTAGAAAGATCTCCTTTTGATCAGTGAGGACAGATAATTTTTAGATAATGTCGTAACGGAACATGTGTAGACAACTTGATCATTCAACAGGATGTTCAAAATGGCGAAATCAATTAACTTACTTTCATTTTGTCTACAAGCGCTTCAAGAAGGCTGCTCAGCTGCGGTATGAAATTGATCAGAAATCGAACCATTTCTTCCGGTGGTTGTCGAGATGCTGTGTTTTCCTTTTTTAAGGCCGCCTGAATGAAATGAATGTAAGTTACCTTAAGAACGTCATGTTGATATGTGGCAAAGTGCATTGCACACTAAAAGCAATGGTTATAAACTCCCCATAAAGCAAAGGGCAACTCTATGTGTGATCTAGTGAGCGTATACGTTCTAATGCGTTTGAATGAACCTCTTACGTTTGAGCAATATATATACATTGGTAGACGTTCAAGTAAAGAACAGCCTTAAAATATCTTGTCTAATCTGAAGCAAACCGTCTGGAAACATTGTATCCAGAAACATGAAATAATAAAGAATTACAAAAGTTATAGAAAAAGTATTCTTTAAAAAACACCTATTATTGAATTTATGTACTAACGCAAGGATTTTTACATACGTATCATTTTTGTAACTCTACATGGCACCCATAATACAACACATGCGTTGTATTTGTACGACTGTTATCGTGGCTGAAACGTACCGGGGAGAGAAACACTCGCTGCGATTCCTCGGTCCCCAGGGATGCATCCAACTGTGACCAGAGTTCTTGAAGAAGGAAAGCACGCTCGGTCGGCAAAAAGTCTTCCTCGAGCAGATACACGAAGTTCTGATTAAGACTCCGAAGGAAATGACGGAATGAAGCAAACTCCACAGGAACTGACCACAGAAACAAGGACAGAGAGAGGAAAGTCACTCGTAGGGTATGTATTATTCGAACATATAGATCTATTCTACTATGATATTAAAATGTGACTGCAAGTTGGATTTGGATGAGTCTTATCTAAGACAATAAGCCATAAAGTAAATAAGCAGATTCACGTCCAGCTAAGATTTGGAGCCCTTAATATCATTACAATTCAACTGGCAAACCTTCCATATAAAAACCGATTTGGAAACATTTTGAAATTATCTTATCATGACGTAGCTGATACCAAAAATAGAGGCTGAACAAATGGCCAACCAGGTGTTTTTACTAGATGCACGGATAAATATTATACTATATAGTGTGTATCTATATGAAAAGATTGACCTACCTGAATTCTTAGTTGCCGCATTATCATCAGTCTCTTCCTCATTTGCTTTGCGTTTTCGGCCTTTTCTATATAGTAGACATGTAAAAAAAAAACCTCCCTGTTACCTTTAGCCTTATATCGGGTCACCATTGCATATGCTCTTAATAAAAATGCGTAGTATTTTCTTCGTTTTTTTTTTATTGATAAGTTAGTTTGTTTATTAAAATGTATACAATAAAGCACTATGTGAAATATATGTATATACGTATCAGTGATTCCAGATTTCATCATACCCAGCTTTTGCTTTAACAGCGGTTCGCACGTGAACGCTCTGAGCGCTGACCCCGTCTTCGAATGTCACCCTCGGTGGTACGAACTCAGGCAAGCGTGCCAACCATCTATTATATCAGTTCGCATAAAAAAACAGTAGGTATTAATAAGATTAATTTCACTGTATGACCGAGCTTTAGCGGTCGAGTACAAGCAAATATGCCCTATGGCGTGCACAGCTTGTCTGTAAAATTATCCATACAACTGTTTCTTTATCTACGTTGCTATAGAGCAGATGAAGAAAGTAAATTTCGTTGACGACATAACTTTTGGAGGGCAGTAGTAATGATCAGACACTGCTGTCGAAATCAGAGAAGCTCAATTGATCCACTGCTTTATACGGAGATCGATTTGTTAAGGTTACTATATTTAAAATGGTATAATAGTGCAACATGTCAGATGTACTGAAAATTGCGACGGCGACTGTTGTGAAAACCAGCTCCAATCATATAGATAAAACATACTGGGCGGCAAGGTTGATGAGATTCACTTGTTTTCGAATGGTCTTCACCAGCTGCGCTCGAAGGTCCCGACTCATCAGTTCCGAAGCACTGTTGATAAGCTGCGATAATCATAGCAGAAGATAATATATAAAACAGAGACAAAAACGTTCTGATGGCTAGACAATATATAGAAGGATTTTACCGTAAAATGGAGAAGCGATTTCACATCGATCATGACGGTATTTTCAAATTTCGATTGTATTCTTACGTTTCAATGTACAACAGAGCTGTAAATCAAAAATAATTTTAATAGTACCTATGACTTTAGAGGACAGGCAAAGAACAAGTTACAAGTTAACAAGTAGCTTAAATAGCGAATATTTTAGCTTTTTATGTTTTGAGAGGTATTTCTTTAATTTTTCTTAAATCAAACTCTTCTTCTCTCTAAACAATCTTGCTATTTCAGACAACACTTGACTATCTATTGAAAAATAAAAAGAGGGTTGGAAAAACTCAAGAGAAAATTATCCGAGAATATATACACATAGTAAAACGCCTGCTACAGTTTTTGAGGAACAATTAAAATTATTACCGAATTTAATCTACAATCGGTGGCTCAGATCATTTTCACCTGGAAAATTTTCATGGATCTAAACAAGTAAACTACTTTGCCATGATGACCTGACAAGTACTACACGAGCAACTTTCGCCTATTAGTTTTAAGCGTATTCTATCGTTCTAACCATAACGATCACACAGGTTGTGACCGGATTTTCCTGTCGAACTGATTAAAACCACCTTAATATAGAATCCAAGGCACATCCTTTTAGTAAATTCTGTTACCACTGCTCACCTCGCGATTCCAGTTGATCGTATGGAATAATGAGATGAGAAGCTGTTCTTTATCAGGCGCCACGGAGAGATTTATGTCCTCAAAATCGTCAGGAAGAGTCCTCGCGAAAAGCAATGCATTTATACCCTTATGGAACATTTATGTCATTAAGTAAATAGACACATCAATCCTATTGTACAAACCCTATTACAAGGTATGCCGTAAAGTAAGCGTTTCATTGATGATAACTTTATTAAGTAATAAACGAAAAGTTTACAGGAGAATGTCCTCTAGCGAAAGCAACTTGAACTTTTGAAAAGATGTTCGACAACCAGGTTAATTTTAGTTCAATGAAGATAGTACTACCTATTGAGATATCTGGAGATATTCCTCTTTATATAACCTTATTTATATTGTATAAATTTGGAAATATTTCGAGATAATTCGATTTTACTTGAAGATCGGTCGAAAAGATTTCTATTTCCGCTGCTCGTAACAGTCGAAACAAAGGACACATGGCTTCAATGGGTAACCTGTGAAAAACCACAGAGAGAAAACAACGGTACGGTTCGTTGAAAGAACAAATCGAAAAGTTCACTGTACCAAGCAGCATTGGTACGCGTCGCCCTATTCTTTGGGCAGCCAAAACATCATTGCTTCGAAAGCCAGTACGATTAAAGTCAAAAGTCAGGGAGTAAACATAACGCTTGAATGATGTTGTGTGACTGGCCTTAGTACGCTAAGGCAGATTTGTGCGACCTCCTGCCTAATAATTAATCAATCAAGTCATGTTTTCGAGATTACGAATTAAATTTTTCCTAGTTTTATTGCATCTGAAAAAGAGGAAATAATTTATCCGCCGAGTTTCATATCCGACACGGACAAGGTTATTAGTTAGCGAGATCATCTTACCCCACTTTTTGCGATCGGTCCAGCACGGAACTTAGACGGCCAATGTCGATGACCATCTGAACGGACGCCGATCTGAGAGAAGAATCGTTATGAAGGTTCGAGGGATTTGCCGAAGTGGAACTGAAATTTGTGCCAGATATTACCTAGGTATTTGAGTGTATGTTTAGGTGGCCGTCCATCACTCGTTTAGCATTCGATACTCCCATTCTGAGCCAGCGGTCTAGATTATCTACCTTTTGTTTCGTTCGGGAATTTACCGAATCATAAATTATTTTCTACTCCGTAACTGTCCAAGCTATGATAGGCTCAAAAAACGTATTTGTCACAACGACTCATTACGAAGTATATCAAAAAGTTTTAATACAGCCGATCAGTAAACCACGGCGTAACGTTTGTCGCCATATAGATACAAATCTAACAATCTGAATAACAGCCCGAGGCCACAAGCCTATCTTTGCCCGTATCACACCACGGAACCCGATTGGGAGACATTTAAAATAGTACTGTATAGTAATTTGCCGATCGGTAATTTTTAACCATATACGCAAGAGCATGCATTCACGAATGATGTCAGCCACCATCAACGCACGAGCCTGCACCATCCGCGACACTTCCGTGTTCTTTCCGTCGATCGATAAAGGCCGATTGGAACTCTTTGGACGCAATTTGGTGAAGCCATCGCACAAGGTGCGGTTCGAGTGACGGTACAGCCAGAGACAGTTCGTCGCAAAGAAGCGCTGCAGCCGCGGGAAACAATCGTGCACAATCAAACGCCTGTCGTACACATGTTTGCCCATCGCTCATACATCGCTTCTCGTTAACCGTGGAGTCACTATAACAAGTGGATATAAGCTCGTGTTAGACAGCATCTAGCGATATGTCGCCTTTTCCCAAAACTGATTGTCTATCAGGACGTGGAAATTGTTCGATTGTACCGCAAATTGTGCTAAACATAATTAAAGAAATTTATCTTAAACTAATAACGCTCTTCCTCGAAGTTAATGGCTGTTGCATAAACCTATAGGCGGCAACAAATCCAATGACGCCTAGCTTGCTTCGAATACGCTGCACAAGCAAACGCCAATGACCTCACCTGGATGGCTGTCGCTCGGACGTGATCACAAATGCGCAAGGACGACAGACTCAACAGAACCAAGTTCCACATTTGCTATTTACCTTCGTTTTGGGAGCATCGCTTCTACCATAGCCACGGTTGCAACCATTCCAACGCATTTATATTTAAGATTCGGATTAATTAACTGTTTGCGTGCTGCTATCCGAAGGGTATCCTGGAAGCATAATTAACGCTGTGTTTCGTGAAGTCCTATTATGGTATAGATTGAAACTTCTGCTAATGGGGCTATCAGCAGCTTATTATAGTAGCTAAGAATAGTTAGGCGGTGTCATCCGTCAGGACGCAACGCAGCTTTAAGCAAGTGCAAACATCCTGAGGCGTCGCGCAATTTGCGACAGATGATTATATACGAAGACATCTTGATCAGCAATTCATATGATACCTTTATGGCTAATAATCGTATGCGGGCTTTGCTACTCGTTGCCTAGACAATATTCCGTAATCTTCTGAATACTTTGGGTCTATATCACATTAGTATAACTAACTAATAGTAAATGCTTATCGAGCACAAACCCGAAGGCCGATATCGGCATCAGCGTCGGCGTAGGCAAGCCACGCAAGGCTACGGAAGAGAAGACGAGCTTGGCCAAGTGACATACGGCCAAGCTGATCAAGAAGCACCTGCAGCATAAACCCAAACGGAGCGGTCTTTTTAACATGCTTTGTGCACAGTATATGCACACAGGACAGGGCGTTGTGTAGTTCCGCGGGTGACCCTGATCCAGCATGCGTAAGGAGAGCCACAATGACCTCCGTTTGTACGTGCACATCGTAGTAGAGGAACAATTCACGGTAGATCGCACTGGCTAGCTCATGCATGCTTATTACTGGACCTCGGAGGAGAAGATCACAAATTTCCAGTATGTTGTTAAGATGTCTTCTAAGTAAACTTTGATGACGTTTTAGCACAGTTGAGGTCACACTTTCCGTCAGGCACGCTTCCTTAACGGCCTGCCGAATCGTAGCGTCGGCATGCCTCTGGTGGAGCTGTCTATAGCAGACAAATAGGAATACGACATCGATTTGTTTCAGACATGCACCCGCAGAGTTGACCTCAATCATCTTGAGCCAACATTCCCCCAGTGCACGATGAGTCATTACACCCACTCGCAGCTTATCCACAAATTGTATGAGAGCATCGGCCTGGGCAGAAGCTGTGGTATGATCAACTGGCTCGTGAGAGTTGCAATCAACCGGCTCTTGAGATGCAAGAACTATAGCTTCACTGGATCGAAGCAGATTTACAAATACCGGTATGTCAGCTTCAGGCAAGTTACGCAGAACAAAATCCAGCACGGGGCATAATTGCTCCACATCGAGTTGTGGAATTGAAGAAAGGACACTCTTCCGCACAGAAACGACCACATCTGATGGGACGCGTAGAGCTGCGAGAGCTTCGAGGACCGCCCCAGACAACTCGGAATGGTTCTCGTAAAGATCGCACAAGTGCGCTGCAACCGTCGCGTGGGAGCCCTCTTCTCGCAGCATTTCTGGGAGCGCACGAACCAGTTGGCGCTGCTGCTCTTCCGGTACATCGGCGATAAGCTCGAAGATTCGTTGTATCAATGCCTGTTAATAGATGAAAAAATTATACGAACGGTTGGGAAAACTGATATATGATGAGGATGAGCTTGAGATTTTGTGCGAGCTTTAAAGGACATTGCAGCAATGAACGAATACTTGCCTCGGGATCATTTATTGTATCTTGCCACTTTAGAGCCTGTATTACTCCATATGTTACGGAAGCGGAATTTTCGTCACCTAACGCGCGTTCGTAAAGTGTATCAAGAACAAATTTAAGGAGGTCTCGCTGAATTTGTGGCACACTAAGTAACAAGCAGAGCACGCTGTTTTGTCGGGCAGGCCACAAGCTAGAACTGAAACCGTAAAGGGCAAATTAGTTTAATTGTGCTTACAAGTACGAACTCAAAATTTTAACTTTTAAGGTCGCTGTGCCCGATGGAAGAGACTACCCAACGAATGCGGTACTGTAGCATGAGGCCGTATGATAACTGAGGCATATTCCATCAGGCACGTATCCCCTAAAAAATGAAAATCCATCGTGCTACATAATATGTGATAAAACACATATACTGCGAAACGTTTAACTATATGCCGGTTCGTTTTGTCTATTCTTTTCCAGGCTTCATTAATGATAGCTTTCACATTACAAAAATCAAGATCAGTCTCCGCAGTGTTTGTTTTCCATATGTTGATGAATTCCAAACTGGCAAAGTTAACGTGCATCTACGTTCTAGATTCTCGAAGTATGGCGGTACTTTGTTTCAAATGTACACGTGTCTGTTCAGTAATGCAGGCTCACGATTCACTTTAGGAACAAAGGTTTGATTCGGTCAGATCTTCCGACCTGCTTCGATGAGCAGTGTTTTCAGACAATTTAAATTCCGTAGGAAGCAATCAAGGCCATCTTTATTTTGTATTTTTTTTATGTACTGTAATTTTGTATTTGTGTACATATTCCCAATCTCGCAACCATGGTTCATTGAATTTTTCCATGATGTGCTCTTCAAGCTTCGACCGTCCACACCCCCCAGGTACTTGAACCCATTCCGGTATATTAAGGTCGTTCTACGTGTGTGAAGCGTATCAAAAGCAACACGACGCTTCCGCGGCAGAACTTGATGGACTTAGTCTTGTTTCTGTTGACCAACACTTCGGCCTTATCTACAAAACATGACAACCCGACGGGAGCTTGCTAGACATGACGCCGATTCCTTTGAAAGATAAAGAGATCGTTGGTGTGCAGCAACGTCTTTGCCTTTCCCGCCGGGTATTGAACACGGGGTGGTAGCTTATTCAGTGACAGAAAGAACAGCAGAGGGCTTTACTTAGCACCCTGTGCAATGCACGATTTAAACTGAGCCGCGCCTTTATCCATACTCGCTTACCTTTCTGTTTCCCCATCCGTTAAATGCAATATATTTTGCAGGGCTCCGCATTTTACAAGCTTCATTGAAATGATATCTCTAGGAACCATGTCTATTGCCCATCATTACCTCTGCATTATTTTCTGTCCGTGTGAGATTGATTTCTCCAGATGTCTAGTTGTAGAGCGCTGATACCTTTCCCGTAGAAAAAGACGAATTGTTCAAAACTTAAATGGGGTGCAACTGGGTTTCGTTTTGTTAACATTGACTGAATAGGAAATTCGACAGAACTGTACAAGCAACAATATAAACCTTAAAAGCACATAGTTAATAACGGGGATAATTTTCTGCAACATGTAACACTACGCATTTTTTTTAAAACCAAATCAGGCCTCCTCCATATCAGAGGTGTGTAATATATGATAAGCAGCAATGTTATGTTTCAGAGTTAACAAAAATCTTCGCTAATTCTTACACAGTCGAGCTGATAGCGGGATCGCACGCGGCAAGTCCATTCTCAAAGCGGATTGCTTCTTTCGAAAAGTAAATTTTAGCTGCATCAGCTAACTCAGCAGGGGCGATCTTCTCCGTAACAAGTGTCTGTCGTAGCCTCTTATGGAACTCTCGTCGGTCAACAGACACAGATATCGCACGGCCCTCGTTGATGTCTACCCCACACGACCTCAACATTCGCTCGAATTGGGCAACTACGCCTCCGATGTCACTGGACGCCATCCCCAATCGATCTGCCCCCTCTAAGCTTCACCTTCTACAACATATAATATGTAGTGAACATCAACATATTGTCTGAGATTGATGTCTGGTAGTTCTTAAACGATTCCGAAGCTCTATACGCTGTAAAGCTTTTAACTGAAAACAAAATCCTTTTTAATTACACGATATATTTATTTAGAATTTATTGCGGAACAACGTTGTTCAACACCTTAGCGTGTACAACAATATTATACTCTAGTAAAATACAATCTAATGTACCAATTATCCGCTAAGGACCGATACGACAATTGATTTTATCGGGCAATTCACGTTTGCCCTACGCCAGGCAGCAAATATCACTTCGAGACTGTGTAACAGACGTTTAGAAAGTGGAATTATATGTTTAATATATAATTGCTGCTAGTAATCAATAAAAAAAAAAACTTTATTATTAAATAAGTTTCATCAACTGAAATCGGAAATTTACAAAATGTCCACATCACGCTATAACTCTGTCCTTCATTTGGTAGTACCTAAAAGCCAATGCTGCCGGCGAAATGGAAGCAACCCTAAGTACGAAAGGTCATTACGAGACGCTCCTCTCGAAACGGAGCTTCATCTTTCGAGTCAAGACCCTTTCATGTAATCCTTGCTCTTAACAAGACGGGTATGCGTACATTAGCTTACCGTTAATAAGGCAGTTTCGTTTGTTTTTTTCCAGTATTATCAACTCACAATGGTACGCTACAATTCACTAAAAATCTATTTACTAAAAACCAATTTATAGCGTGTCTAGATTACGAATCAAAGTCACTTCGATTGCAGAATAAATCGGTGTCAGCTATATAAACATACAAATGATCAGTATTTAAATGAGCACCATTGATTGTCTATGATCATATGCTGACACACTGAACACAGCCGCCACTGGCAACATAACTCTACTAGCTCACAGGGCCGAGTTGATGCCAAATGGCTTACTTTGGATTCGTCTTGGAATTTGTTGGTTAAGCCACGTAGCCGACTTACTTAAGTCTAGTCTGTCTTTATCCACACATACATTAAGTAATTAGCTCATAAAGCGCTCATTCAGGTGTAAAGGCTAAATAGCATAAATAAGGAAAGATCAAAATATGGTCTCCCATCCACTATCCTTCTATCCAACTCTGTCAGCTAAACTGACTCACTTGGAACCGCCACGACGCGTGAACAAAATCTGACAAACAAATGTTCGAAAACACACAAGTGTTAACATTTATTGGTTTCTTATGCATTGTAATTTTACGATCCTTGTGACTTATATCCTATTTAGGTTCGGAAAAGTTACTTGAATACGTAGAATTTTAACTTCGTCTGCAGTATCTGTGCTTCAAGACATCCGGGTTCGAGCTTCATATTGGACAAAAAGAGAGAGTCCAAACTGCGATGAATGTGCGCATATTTTTGAGCTTCATTGAAAGTCAGTTCGAGTACCTCGGTACGGTGGCGAAGCTGGATAAAAGAGTCCTAGCAAATTTTACCCAGTGATGGGTCGTTTTGTCAAGACAGGCAATGGAACCTCCTATTGGGCTAATGCCACTGAGCATGGACCATGCTGGCATAGAAGGAATCCGCCAGAAGTGATAAAATTTAAGCTTTGACGTCGATGAAGTTTGTGTTCATCGTCTATTCGTATCAAGCGCAGATCCGATTCGCCGATATATGCTGAGCAAGATCCGTGCTGTTCGTCACTGATAATCTTTTTAATATCAGAAAAAATTATCAGCATCAGTCACATAACTGTAATTGGGCACCCGTTCAGGCTCTTGCCCCGTTTACCAGTGCTGTCAGCCAGCATTAACTCCTAAATCCGGACAATACCTGCCATAACGAGGGCGGACCAAATCCTCCAAAACAAAGAGCCTGTTGCTATGTCTGCTGGTGCATTCAGGCGACTACGAATACTGTAAACGAAGTTATGTGAAAATTGTTGGTGCATACCTAATGAAATTATGGCAAAAGGCGGCCACTGGGATTTCCGCTGCAAGGCAGCCATACACCAGTGACCTTTGTCGCACTACTGGGACGTCTAACCGTAGCCGTATCACCAGAAGGGACTAATGTGATAATTAAATAAAAGATTCTTCAGGACTTCATGAAGATAAGCTATCACATGCTCGAGTTCCCCAAGTACTGCTCGGTTAACAAACGATACAATAATTGTATATTCTATTTGAAGTGAATAAAGCTATATTATTAAACTAAAAGTCGGGAAAATCGTTTTCTGTACATCGGAGGAAGCGCAGCACTACGCTCAAAGCGGAATCTTTCCTACTACGCGACTTTATTTGCTGGATGCTTTAAAAGACAACTGCGTAACCTACTTCCCTATCTACAGAACAGATATTATAGAAAGTGTTCCAGTGGACACACACGTCCATGTGCACATAGTAACAAATGTTCGAAGTAGGTTTTTTATTAATAAACAAAAACTTCGCTCTATTTTTTTTTTTATAAATATATTCCTGAGTTGATTTGTTTCAGCATGGCATTATAATTCACATTTCATATTCAATGACATTGAATACACAATCTGAAAATACTAGCTGGTTGCGTGACTTTAGCTACAAAATATCCACTCGAAATCATTTAGCAGGCTAAACTTAAAATACTTTCCACAACGATTTTTTTATACTGCAGGTCAACCTGAATATACAGAAAAACAAACAGCCAATATCAAAGAGGGGCTCGGACTAAATAGCTGGCAGAAAAGAGGACTCTAGCAGGAGCACAGTAGAGATTTCGTGAGAAAAAATCTACAGCACGCTGTGAGGTTCTGGCAAAAACGAATCTCAAACGTGCGTCTTTCGATACCAGGAACCCTGCTCTGGTCATCCCGTTGGTCCCCCTTCCCCTCTTCTTTTCCAGCTAATGAATTAAAAAGTGGTGATAAGGTCCCCGATGTAAAGGGGATATCGTGCTTGCACGGCAGACTGTTAGAAGCCTGAATAGAGAGGGTTGAAGTAACAGTCGAGGTGTCTCAAGGACTTAATCGTTCGGAGCATGGCATATAACTACGTCTCTGACGTACCCAGTAGCTCGAAGGGTGTTCAGTGAATCTCCTATATAGACAAACTGGTTCTCATTATTTACAAAAGAAAGAAAAGTGGGCCTAAGAAAAAAGCTAATGTAGCACTCAGTTTTACAACAGTCTAGAAAGAAGAAATTTATTTTAAACGGTTCTGGAGAAAAATAATGTAATCTCTCTTACAGACAGGCTACGTGTTGAGTACGCAACAGAACGGACACTCGGTCCGTAATCGGGCTGAACTAATCTCAAGGTAAAGGGAACATCTAAAGAAGCGAGACGATTGCTTGCAACGCTATTAAAATCTGTTGTACACTCATCAATCAGCTCAAAAAGGGACGGCCATCAGGGTGGCTCGGGCGTACAGGGATGTATATTTAAAAGTTTATTTAACACTTGCTAGAATGATAAGCTGGGATCCACTAACGGACAACACACTGCTTCTCACAGCACCAAGCTGTTGAGATCGCATGAATGTTTGAATGAATTCAAGACAGTCATTTAGAGTTGCTCGGTAAATGCAAGTTATTTCTTACTTTGGACGTAGCTTTGTGGGTGCGGACTATGAAGAGCTGTCTTACTATATTACTCAGATGTTAATCAGTCACAGGACAATTTCAAACGTGTATTATCAAACCTAAGTAGACTTCTATGAGCAACTAGAGAACTGGACAGAAAATAGCACGCGCTGGTTTGCCGCTGTACCCTACGAGGACTAGAAAGACTACAATACGTAGAAACACCGGACGGAAGCTATCGACCAAAAGCGTTGTGGAAAGAGTGCTGAGGTCGGTAGAAAAACGGTGAGCGTGGTTTTCGAAGCGACATTGTGAAAGAAATTAAAGTTCAAAAGAATCAGAAGATCAGAAGGATCTGAAGCTCAAAAAAGAGACTTAGGACACTCTACGGAATAGGACACACTGGCCGGTCCCTGCACCCCACTGTCCGACGTAACACGCAAGAAAAGGGCCCAAATGATGAGGTTTGGATGTTTTTCTAGGTGTACCAAGCAGTTACCCTAAATATGATGCTCAGATACCTGGCGATCCGCGGTTTTGTTTTTGCCCGCTATTTTCTACGGAGCAAGCGACACTCTCTCTCAAGTGGCGAAGGCACGACCATTGACGGCAGCCAGCCCAGCTGAGACGAAAACAATCGAGTATATTCAAACAAGTGAACGCAACTCGATAAAATATGTCTCGAAATACGGAAATAAATAAAACGACCTATACTCCTACGGGACAAGAAGCTGTGGAAGAGCAGAAAAGCTTCCAGAGGGTGATTAATTCCTTCAGGGCGTACAAGTACGTAGAACAATTCGTCACCATTTGCTATCGTTGTAATCACATGATCGCAGTTAAAAGAGGCAACCGACACTTGTCCCTTCACTAGTACCAGTGTCTTCTGTCGTCGTGAGCGCATATTTGAAATGGCATAAATATTACTGTTGGCTTTAGCCTAATGTCGTGCTGCTTTTTCTAATTATTTTCAGTTTAGTTAGCATAACATTAAAAGTATTTCAAACCACGAAACAGCTACTGAATAGTATAGCCATAATGATTCATCAACAAGCATGTAACTGAGGTTGTCTACACGTTTCGTATAATTCCTATCGGCATTACAGTGATTAAGAGTCATTAGTTGGGAAAATTGAGTGAGTAACTTCATTCTGAAGCGGAGTGCTGTATTCTATTGTTGTCATAGAAAAAAAAAAACAACTACGATAGTCAAAATAAAGCAATCTTCGATTACGTGCCATAATTGTTGTCGAAAATACTTGTGAAATGCACGTCAGACCCGCACTCAGCGGTGGTAAATTCATACTATTTGATATAATCCATTGTTCTTTATAATGCCTCCTGTGACGAGCAACACTAACCTAGTCTATAAGGAAAGGTGCGTGAAAATTTCACACCGAGGTCCATGAACAACTAAAGCTTATCTCAGTGGAAACTCAAGCGAGTTCATATCGGACTAGGAAGGCCTTGCTTATGGTCTGATAGGCAACAGCTGTTTATTCTTGTAAAATACTCAATGTAAAACACGATTTGAGTTGGAGGCAGTAGCATAAACTATGAAAGATACATAACGTGTCAGCTCGATCGGTTACGGTAGACATAACCGGTACTATTAATGGTTTTCGACTTTTGCTTTCGTCGTGTTTTCTTAGAATCCACTCTCATAGGCGTGCTCGAAAACCTATGCTTGTGATTGATAAAATGGTACCGCGCCATCAGCGCTTTCTGGAGGACTACAGAAAACATTTAGAGCAGGTGGGTGAATTTTCCCTCTTAATTCTACATCACTTTGACCAGCCAGCTGTTATCGGTGTTAATAAACTGATACATCATGAGAACTCCGACGCTGCTTTCTTTTAGAAATGGTTATCAACTGATTCGCATATAGTAATTATCCCGACGTTAGCGTTGAAGCAGCATCAGATACTTAAGAAAATAAACAATAAACACGCGTAATGCACATTCTGTCGGTTTTATTGATAGGTACTAGTATCACTCGATCACAACGCTGAGTTCTTGAAAGAGCTGACAGTGGACGTGGAAAAGATGTTTGAAAATCAAGAAGTTCGTGAGGTGGATCCCCGGATTACACACGAGTTAGCCCCGTCCGAAGCTGACATGGATAAAGTCCGCAGTGTTCTGAAGCAGTTTTGTAGGGAATGGAGCGAGGCCGGTCGTATAGAACGAGAACAGTCTTTTGAGCCACTAATTCGAGAATTAGAGCAGTTATTTCCGGAGGGAACACGGGATGAAGTTCGGGTCCTAGTTCCTGGCGCTGGGCTTGGCCGACTCCCGTACGAATTGGCTGTCCGCGGGTTCGCCTGTCAAGGCAACGAATATTCGTTTTTCATGTTATGTGGTTCCTGCTTTGTCCTCAATCGCTGTAAACAAGTGAATATGTTTACAATTTACCCATATGTTCATCAATTCACGAATAACATGCGTAACGCAGATCAAGTTCGGAGCGTCACCGTACCTGACGTCAATCCGGCCGAAGCTGGAATTAATCCAAATTTTTCAATGGCGGCCGGGAACTTCGTTGAGGTTTATTCAGAACAGCCAGACACGTGGGACGCGGTGGTCACGTGCTTTTTCATTGACACTGCTCAAAATGTTATTGAATACATTGAAACTATACACAAGTGCCTCAGGCCGGGTGGGTACTGGTTGAATTTAGGACCACTTATGTATCATTATGCCGACATGTTGAAGGAAGAGAGCATTGAGCCTAGCTTTGAAGACATCAAATCTATTAGCCAGGAGATTGGTTTTGAAATAATTAGAGACAAAACAGGTTTAAAATCGTCGTACTGCACAAATGGAGAAAGCATGCTTCGGTATGAGTACAGTAGCATCTTTATGTTATGCAGAAAACGGAAACAATCTCAGAATAATTATATAATTAGTTGCACGAGAAAAGGACCGCAGTATTCACACGCTTAATACTTTCCAAATTAAAATTTTTTTTTTTTTAAACAAGGTGAAATAATCGTGATGACAATAGCTCACTGCTGCATCAAGTCGGATTGTACAAGCAAACAATAATACTACTGAAAACTAGAAGAACTTGCGGGGCGGGTTGTCTGAAAGGAGAACGTATGGGTCATAAGTGATGGGTCTATGTCATAGGTTCAAATTTTCATAATTTCAAATTTTACAAATTGGTTTTATTCTAGAAATACGGCTCTAAGAACAATAAGTGTTAAATAGATAGGTGAACAAATTGTAATATTAGTAAAAAGACGTAATAAATATGAATTGTAAGTAGCAATGATTTAACTACTATTCGCTCTTTGGCGATAATCTGTGTACTTAATCAGTTTAAAGAGTACCCTTATATCATAATAAAGCAACTCTTGGAAGAGTAATTTTTCAAACTATATAACTATACTCTGGGGTAAGCCCAAGTGGGAGCCCCTGTGAGATCTATTGTTGCAATTGTTGTATGATTCTCTACTGTTTTTTGTTTCTGCCAGAAGACCGGCCAATACTGCATTATCAAGCCATAGTAGTTTAGATGACTACCTTCCTTTTAAAAGCTATTTTTTTTTAATTTTAGTAAGGGTTTCTAAAGCCATGTTGAGTATGCTCGTAATTGACAAACATAACGCTTGTTGTTGTTATTAAACAAAATAAATATTTTATTTTTAAAAAACGTTTTATCATAATTCCGTATGCAACGTTGTCTTGTAAGTCTATCCTTATCATTTTCTTTGATAATACTTCTATGTACATATCACTAGCGTCTCGTCACTTAATCTGCGCGAGAACCGATGAACGCATGGGCGAATTTTGGAAAATTGCTTTGATAAGGTGGGCTACTTCGGCAGGTTGATACCACGTCCTCAATTCTGAGTCATGGTTTTTCCAATGTGCGGCGAAGTCTTTGAGGCCATACGATAAAATATTTTTTAGTTCTTCAGCTTTTGGAAGCGGGCGAATCTTCATACGGCCAGCTATATCCTTGATTTCGGCCAATATCTCAGACAAAATCGTCGCCCAGAGATCAGCCTGATTGCTTTCGATGTCTTCCTTCATAACTACAACAGAAATCAACAACTCTACATAGTCTTCGATAAGTAAACACAGCACTTTTTCAGACACGTTTAAAGGTAGAATCTCTTGCAGATCCGCACAGTACCTGCGCAAAAACTGTGGATACTCTTTAAACGCATCATCGTCGAGGAAATCGGTCTTTCTTTGCCGGAATGAATCAAATGCCAGCTTTTGAAGTCGTTCGTGAAAGACGATGTCGGCAAAACGCCTAAGCCCGACTGATGAGTTGAGTGCTACCCTGCTTGATGGATGCAACAGGCAATGAAGTAATACTTTGTGCGCAATGAACATTGAATTACAATAGACTATAGCCACTTCCTTATCTGATAACGTCGAAACAGTATGCTTATAGTACGAGGTATAAATATCGATCACTAGAGACGGCTCTGGGCAGTCTAAGATCTCAACGACTAGAGGACGTAACCAGAAAGAAACACGGCAAGGGTTCATGTCGCCGGGGCCACCGAAGTCTGTACTGGTAAGCTTCTCCGTTGGCTCCAACGACTTCCGTAAAATTTCACGAATCTGCAACATAATCGAAAACACATGAGGGTAAAAAAACAAAAGAACATGCTTCGATTACTGGCTATAATAGTTTAGAAAATCGTCCCACATATACTTTCTCCGTAGCACAGCGGAATGAAATATAGGACTTGCTAAATGCCCTTTAACTCAGAAACAGGTAGGTTTGAGCTTGAAAATATTTCTTTGAAAATTTCTTCGCTGCAGAGTTACGCAAGAATTCGCCAATAACAATGTGCCGAATGCCCCTAACAGCAAATCGTTCTATAAAGTTGCAGTCTACTTGGATGAAGATTTTGTTACCACCATCTTCGTAATAGTAAAGAATTAAGCGGGAAAATAAATGCAACCTCATTAAATGAAAGAGCTCTTCTAAATTTGAAAATACTATCAGTTACTCTAAAAACACAGTTTGGCTGGATTGAAGAAATAAGCAAATCCAACAAGTAGCAATAAATTATGCACCTATCACCTATAGCAGAACACGAAAAAGTAATTTTTTTTTAATGTACTGAATTACGTGGACGGCTCACACTGCAGTATTATTAGGGATAGAGTACAACAGGCTCGGTGGGTACCAAGGCATGCCTTTTTTTTGGAGATAGCTTTTAATCCGTTATGTCATTGAACATAAAATGACATTAATTTATAATTGCAAAGTCCATTTACCTTCCCTAAAAAGGCGCTAACTTCATTTTCTTCTCCGTCTCCTATGCCTTCAGCGTTGATGTCGCCGTCATGGCCATACTCTTTGTTCGACTCGTCCTTCAGATTTTGCAGTGATTTTCGCTGCTCAACCTCAAGTGTATAACGCTTGTTTACTAGGTGCTGTCTAATAGACTGCAAGAAAAGAAAGAAACTGATAAGAGCCCCATATAATACTAGCCAGTAGGCCTTTTACGAAAATATATTTAAGATAAATTAACAACGCATGGGCCAGATGGAGAACTGACGTGTGAAACAAAGGTAAGCCATCTATATTTTAAACGTTACCTGAAGGATTCGAAGTTTACCGCCACTCCACACATTGAGCGTCTCACAGCTCTCTTCGATTCGGTTTAGATAAACCAAGGCTGTGCTTCTGTCATTTTGACACGCCTCAGTGGCCTCAAGTAAATCGCCAATCTCGATAAGATCCGCGGTCCGTTTCAGCTGTTGGTGTTTTCAAAAAAGGATCAAGTCGACCTGAGTTACGTATATATACACTTTCCGTTGCGTTTTTGTAATATAACGATTACAGCCAAATAGCTTTGAAGAATATTTACACCGGGCTACACTGACCGCATGATTTACTGTAGCAATTTTCGCCTCAAGTTCGGCGATATGCTGTTTCTGGTCTTGATCAGCGATCTGCCGTAGAGAAGAGATGGTATCATTCAACTGGGCAGCCAGCAAATCCACCTCGGATAGGTGCTCCTCAAGGCTTATTTTCAGTTGACCTAAACTTAAACAAACAACTATTATGCCCCGTACACGCGTATTGAATATAAAGGTCTCTGCGTTTTTCCAGCAATAGCTTTCCAATATAACAGATAACATATGCTTTTAAGTATTTATTAATGTTTGACGGGCACACATAAATTCGATTGTACTTACCAGCCTCTTGTATAGAAGACTCATCTAGCAATTCTGTGTGTTCTACATGTTTAGCGAGTGCGTCCATTTTGCGACGTATGTCCCGTTCGATATCGGTCATACGTGCAGCCAACAAAGACGGCTTTTCCAATGCAGCTAATGACATTGTGATGACTCGGACTGTCTAAAGGGCGATCATTACGCTAAATGTTAGTGTACTTACCTGACTGGGTAAATTCTATCAGTTGGAAGCTATTTCAATAATAATCATCGTTATTATCATTATTCTTACAATATAAGTGTCAAACAAAAAGAAGAGTTCGAATTAAGTACTGCCGCAACGGAGGCTTCACACAAGACGGTAATGCCCTTCTAGAAGCTAAAGAAGACTGCTCTAAATTAATTTCATACAATCGTATAAAAGCCAATTGAGCTAACTGTGAGCATCTACCGGAACAAGACGGGGGTAGTAGAGCCTTGATTTAAATGAATCTAAGCGAACTAAACGAACCGTTTTTATAACATCCGTTAGTGCGAATCTTATTATCTCGTTATTTAAATCGCTATGGATGCGAGAAAACAACACCATAAGCTATGATAGCGGAACGTACCTATTAAGAAAAATCAAAGCCTCGCAAAAGAACCAAGGCAACTTAGTTGGACAATATTACAAAAAAAAAAGCAAACCTTAACCCTATAGGTTTTCAAATTACATATAACACATTACCTCTGATTCGGCCGATTCGATTTAATGGAATATCCAATAATCCATATTGAACTAGTAACTATTTATCACCAGTCAGTTTGTTTGTTAGAGTACTCTATTTACGATAACTTACGTTCAAAAAAAACTTCTAATATTTTGATGCCAAATTATTGCATAAATTTAGCATAAAATAAATGGTATTTCATTCATTTTAATTTATTTGGGAATAAACACCTTCAAAAAAAAGTTACGTAAACACGGCTACAGCACTTCGCAAAAGACAAATAAATTTTCACTCACTTAGGCGGGGCTTTGGTACGACTAGAACCTTCTGTCAATATCCTCATCACTTTTAGAACCGGGACAGATATGGTTAATGTTCAAACACCGAGTAACTAATAGGAATTTATGCGCTTCAACAACTATCACCTCACATAAAAACTTCAATTTTCAACGGTGGTTTTTAAATGTCAGTTTGAAGAAGTGCTTTGACTTATCAGGCAAAGACCGGCGGTACAACTAGCAATATTCATTGCTTACAATAGAGCTTTAGGGTAGACCAGAAACTTTACAATGTAGTAATTGCTTCGATGGATATCTCAATTGTGGCATGTATTATTACCTGCTCCTAGCCTGCTTAAGGCAGAAACCATACAAAACTATAATTCAGAAAGAATTCACCGAAGTACACGTCTACGATAAATTTATTTTTAGTCAAACAAAAAGCAGCGATCACAAGTCAATGAGCTAAAGGGCTACCTCGTGCCACAAGCCACTATACGTGACAAAATCATTGTTTGTTTTGAAATTGATAGGCGCTCATATGGCAGGTTATGTATAACACGTGCGTTATTTTGCCGGCAAACAGTTCTAAACAATGAAGGAATAGAACGGTCGCTAGAATCATAACTTTTATTGGTAGTGTGAAGTGAAAAGTGAATTGTCCCTGTTGTGTTAGAATTGTATATTCTCAAAAGAAAGGTAAGTGACACGTGGCTTATATTTTTGAATGTGTCAAATGACCAACTTAAGTCTAAACTAATATTATACTGGCTGTTAGTATAATATATCGTCTTTGGTCTGCAATGGACAGCATTTGTGCACGTCTTTCAAGAAGGAGAATTAAATCCCAGGAAAACAGCTACTCGAGACCAATTAGGTACTCGGATTCATCGATGACTATGAACTGTCGCGCTTATACTAGCCGGCTAAAACGCACGCAAGACCTGTGTGCATCGCTCGAAGGATTATAATGCTGTAAATACGAAGTAGCTTATCTTTCCATACCTGAACATTGTAACAAATCAGTTTACTGTTTCACCGAATTAGCTCATTAGTTAATATACAGTTATCGTTATTACAAATCGTAACCGGAAAAGGTGATTTCTAACAATGACTTTTGTACACACTTGTCTTCTTTTTATTTTAATACGTGTAATATAAAAAAACGTTTATCGAAAACACTTTATTAGGTATCTACATAATTACTTATATGTATTATTTAAATATATTTTATTATTATGTAAATATATATTTAACTATCGTGTAAGTGTACTTCTCGAAAATTACGATTTGCAAGTTCATTAATGCTTTTCCAAATTAGTAGAATCATCTCCACTTTGCCCGTTAAGTAAAGTAACCACCGACAATAAAATAATGCATAGCATTTGGCGTTTCTAAATCAAATAGAAACAACAGTGTTATTTATTTTCCATTTTTTTTACTTATCAAACCGTTTGTTGTCGTATGTAGAATGACAATGGAGTTGGATACCCGCGCTGTTAGCGGGAACCGACGAATTTTGGCGCAGTTTGAATCGGAAGGGGGCGAAGTCACCGGTGCCCCGCTCGACCTGCCGCTTGACATCTCCAAAGATAAGCTTCAGTCATTATGTAACATGATTCTTGAAAATGAAGAGAGCGTGCCGTATCTGTTCTTCATCGAAGGAGAAGAAATAAAAAACTCTCTTGACAAGACTATGCATGAAAAAAAGCGTGAGATCAGCTCAGAAGCACTTGTGAAAATTATATATGCCCCTCAAGCGTTATTTAAGGCAAGTATCACAGGAGTTGGTTAACTGAAGCTCTTCGGTAGTCACCAGCCAAATGTCTCATTTTTTTTGTGACCAGATATTTATCGTAGCTTTTATGTTACAGCAAAACTATGTTCAACGACTGCAAGGTAATATTCAAGCCAGAATCTAACTTACGTGCGTGTCAGTGTTACGAATCAAGTACTCGTACCGGAGGTTTTTGCTTTTCGCTATAAGTGCATTCTTTTTTACAGTAAGCTCAACTACTATTTTCATTTTTTTTAGAAAGGCCGCATAGTCAGTTCTGTTTACTTTTTGCTACTCAATACTTCTATTAATACACAGGCATATTCGGCATTATAATAATAGTAACACTAATATTTATTCAACTTAGGTCCGCCCCGTAACCCGTTGTACAGGTTCGATCCCTGGCCATGCAGAGGCAGTTCTCGCCTCGCAATTCAGCCCTAATGGACAGTATGTTATTGCTTTAATATATTGTATACACGATACTGCTATTGGACATAATAATAATTCTTGAAGTTAACATTTTGAACTTTAATAGAAGTAATTTATGTAATGGATAACGATTTTAAAGAAAATACTATTTCAAACTTGACTTTGTACTAGATTTTTATTTACTCCAGTGCTATTGGTTTTAAATTGTTATGGACTAAACTGTTCTTCCAAAGTTATATGTATATTTACTTGCAGCACAGTCAAAAACATGCGTATTTTGTTCAAATGGAAGTTCTGGTCGGGTAACATTAAGGGCTTGTCATTCTAAATTCCAATGTCGAAATTAAATATGGTGAAACGATCAATATCACCGAATAGAATTTTGTCAACATTACTTATTTATGCTGTATGATGTATTTATGATGTATTGTTCAAAGATACCTGGTGAGTGGATCCGGTGATACGACTGTTCGATTTTGGGACTTGAATACGCAAACGCCACACAGCACATGTAAGGGACACAAAAACTGGGTTCTAGCCGTAACGTGGAGTCCAGACGGTGGCAAAGTTGCTTCCGGGTGTAAGAGTGGAATGATCTGTTTGTGGGATCCTAGTACTGGAAAACAGATCGGTAAAAATCTCACCGGTCACAAAGGATGGATCACCTGTTTATCCTTTGAACCGCTCCACAAGTGAGTGCTAAGGAATGCTGGTAGCATGACCAATTTGGAGTACGCGTCGTATGCAAAATAATAAATTGGCTATTCGTTTGCTTTATTTAAATCAGTTTCTATTAAAAATATCATTACTTCGTCTTTTATTATCTAGCTGCTAGGCTACATCTAAACGAGTTCAGTTTTCTGATTAAAATCAAGATTCACGAAAAATGAACAATTGCATTAAATGACAATATAACCTTTAATTTTGACTGGAAAGGTGGTAATGTACATGAACTAATTGTCTACGCTTATTGATTTTGAGTGCAGAAACCCAGCATGTCGATTTTTAGCGTCCGGTTCGAAGGATGCCACCGTTCGGATTTGGGACACTGTTATGGGCAACACGATCCTCACTCTTTCTAGTCATACCAGATCGGTGACGTGTATTAAGTGGGGTGTGTACTACATGTAAAAATAAACTGCAAGAAGAAGCATACAACTCAATTTTGTAAAATTGATGATATATCAGCATACTGTTTCAGTTTCCTCATGTACATTCTGAGGTAAATGGTAAACGATAGGCAAAAACAGTAAAGAGAAACAAGAGATGTATTCCATTTTTTGCGATATCAACCTTTTGTATGTAGGTCTAAGATACTTCTTAAGGATGTACACGATCTATATCAAAAAATTAAACTGTTCAATTTCTATTGAATTTTTATCGTGATTAAAGAAGAGTACTAAAAAAATGCATTTAAATATCTATAGGTGATCTTCATCGAATAAATAAATAGAATAATCTGAAGGTTTGTTCTTTTTTTTTTTTTATTTTTGAGTCCCTTAGGTGGCACGGGTTTGGTGTATAGCGCGTCACAAGACTGTACAATTAAAGTATGGAAGGCAGATACTGGTGCGCTGATGAATACGCTTCAATGCCACGGACATTGGGTCAACGTTTTGGCATTAAATACCGACTATGCCATCCGTACTGGAGCTTTCGATCCATGCAAGCAGGATCAACGTGATCACCAGGACAGAGTTGGCGATAAAAAATCTATTGATACTGGTAAATGGTAGAGATGCAATCCGCTACACTAAATCTCTGGATATGTGCTTTCGTAAGCTACTAGAATATATCATATATTTATTTTACTCAGTTAGATAGTATGAGGTACTTAGTGTACTTTTTGCATATTAATCAATTTCAGATAATTTGCAACGGTTGTCTGAAGAACGGTATTTAGCAGCAAAAGGCAAAGAACCCGAAAGGTTGGCGTCCGGATCAGATGACTTTACCCTGGCCCTATGGAATCCTATGAACAAAAAACCTTTACAGCGGATGACCGGTCACCAGCAGCTAGTGAACGATGTAAAATTCTCACCAGACATGAGGCTGCTAGCCAGTGCGTCGTTTGATAAAAGTATCAAGCTTTGGGATGGTCGTACCGGTGAGGTTAAAGACTTACAAATTCGAAAAGCAGCCGTAAGAAAGCTGTAAGAAGCAAAGACCTGCATTAACTAGTTATTCCCTACATAGGCGTTTGCACAAGCACACAGTAGTTTCTTCCCATCGCTTAGCGATGTTTCTGCCTACATTCAACAAATCTGTAAATCATCTTAAGGACGACTTTGACATTTAATAGCCCTATATCTCCCGTTGTCACTGGTTACAGGCACATACCTTGGCGTTTTAAGAGGACACGTTTCTTCGGTGTATCAAGTATCCTGGTCAGCAGACTCGCGTCTACTGGTTTCAGGAAGTTCGGACTCGACACTAAAGTTATGGAACGTTAAGGACCGCAAGCTACTTATAGATCTACCCGGTCACGCGGATGAAGTGTATACCGTTGACTGGAGTCCCGATGGAAGCACAGTTGTATCAGGCGGCAAGGACCGCGTAATCCGACTATGGCGAAGATAAGAGCTTAAGTACAACTAAAATGCTTGTTAAGAAAAATTGAGTGTATAAAGATTACTTAAGATAATTTTCTTAATAGCTCCGTAGGACGGGTGAATTTAGATCAAGTGTACAAGACGTTTTTGTTGAATTTGATTTAAATAAAAATCATTTAGTAAATACACCTTCGTCTAACTTATTTAATAAAAGCTTTAACGAAATTTGGCTAAAATGTTATGCCAGCGGGATTCTAGGTTCTACATTTGAAGATGACTGTTTCACAGATCACTTAATATTCATAGCAGTTCTCCGACATTCATTTTAAAAAAGTAAAAGTACAATTACACCACAATATTAAATTGAAAAAAAAAGTAGAAACTACAGTTTTTTTTTAATCTGAAAGTATCATGACATTAATAGTTATATCGTTATTACAATATAGCGTGTTCTTCCATACGCACGGTCCAGAATTATGAATGAGACTAACAGTGTTTATTAGAGGCTACTACCAAACGAGTGTGCTTATTATTGGCATTGCAGCTATATGAAAATGAGGATTGAAACACAAAAAAACGCACGCACATAGGTTTTATAGTGCTTATTGAAATATTACTTTTATTCACTGTTATAATTATTATTACAGTTGTAACAGCAATCAATATAATTTCGCTATATGTACAGTTTTCCTTGTTGCTGCGGTGACAAATTGTTATAATCGGCGCAAGATATTAGTCGCTGCAGCTTTATATATTCACGCTTGCAAACCCTGTCCCAAACCGTATACACTTCTCTTCCAGTTAGCCTTTTGAAAAGTAGCAAATCTTTAACTAGGCCCATGGCGTAAAGGATAAGCTGACGACAAACCGCGATCGGACGCTGTTTCGATATTGTCATGTTTAATTTTTTTATCGCCTTTCTTCTATAGATTTACAAGGATTTGCTGTAAACAAAGGTCTGTCACTGGCCGATGTCTTTTTGTTCTCTTATCGTTGACTTGACGATAGTTTGTACAGCTGGCTTTAGGCGTTAAATAGGCCACGAATGGCGCAAAACGACTTACATTTGGTCATATTCGTGTAAATTAATCTAAAAAAACTAAAAGTAGCGACAATTACAGCAGTGTTTTTAGCATTAGTAATTATGTTTATCATTTTTTCTGCGTATTTCATAGAACACTACAGATTCATGAAGGGGTTAGGTGACTAAAATTGTTCTCATTCTCAATGCCTTAGCCATTTGTTTCTACTTGTATTTTACATGTTTATATGTGTGAATAAGGAGAGGTAATTCTCATACATTACAGCGCATTCTATACAATAGGAAAAAAGGCATTACCTCACACATTTGGTATATATCTTTATATATGTATCGATAACGAATAAATACACATCCAGTCACAAAAACATTTCTTGTTGTCTACCTAAGCGCCACGTGATCATCTTGTCATATGGCTACCTCACGTGTGATTTATATGTTTTCCATGCCAACACGACGTGTGCCACAACGAGGCCGTTTATTCTTGCTATATATATATATATATATATTCCATTATATACTCCATTCACTCCATGTAACTTCTCCAACTAACACAATCTGACTACAATTATTCGTTAAATTCTTGCCTTTGCCTTCAACGTACCCCCTTTACAGAATGCTACTCTGCTCTCCTTTCGCAGAGCATTGCCATCTTTTCGTCAATCATTCCGTTAGGGAATCGAGAACCAAATCGGTCCAAGGAATGCCGGCGAATAATGAAGGCGATGTTGTTGCTAGCTGGCTGTATAAGCATATGCCAACGCTCAACAAAAATTTTTCTCTCATTATACGTACTTTATAATTACAATGATTTCCTATTTTTTACGTTGCAAACGTTGATCATTAAAAAACAAATTTTGATGAGAAAAAAGGTAGTTCTTTCAAACAATTATCTACATGTTTCGTCGAAGGTCGGTAACAGCTACTTTTGTGCATTGTTGTCACGCGAAAATTTTTTTTGATATGATAACTGCCATCTTCTTCCTTGACAGTATAATAGTTATCAGGAATGGTATCGTTTTTCTAGATAGCTTAAATATGATACCTATCATATTTGGAGTAATCGGAACTTCAAATGGTTGCCGTGGCTTCACTTGGCTCTATTTTGATGCTGTTCCGTGTTGTTTTCGTTGGGTTGTGGCACGTACGCTGGCTGCATCAACAATAGCGGCAAGGCAATGCCCGAATTCTTGAAGGATCGCCTTTTCCGCATCCTCCTGCTTACAGACCTCAGCCGCCCGAGCAACTAGACATTCGCATGTAGCATCCACTAGCTCAGCCGAAATATGGAGCTCAGGCGGTGGTGGTGGAGATCGAGCTGTTGGTAGCTTTTCTGGTTCCCCTACACCTGCTAAGCTCTTCAAGAGGTCATCTAGCTTTGACTTAGGCTGTGGGTACTGAAAAACAGTCGCGTGAAGAGACATTATAAATACGAGGACACAGTTATCGTTGCTTATCATCTCGATTGTTGCCAAACTTTGTTTATATGTTATCTTTCAAAAAGATCTGGAACTACACGAGACAATTTTCACGAAGTTCAGTAAGTTGACACTGTCTTTAAACATAACAAAGACATACGCCTGAGCGATCTGAAAAGTACGCTTTTCTTCAATTTACCTTGAGATCCTGTTTGATTGTTAGCAGTGTTTCTGCGTCCATATTCGCTTCGATATTGTGGCAACCCACACATCGACACACTGCAGAACAGAGAATTCGTGCCTCGTAACATTCGCAGTAATTTTTCAAACACCCTGATCGTTTGCAGTTGCATCCCTTTGTATGACGTCGTTCCTTATCACCCGGCTTATATTTGCCTATACATGACAAAAAAGCATTCTTACTCTCTTCTTCAGAGCAGACATATGATAATACTCATCATGATACTTTAGTAGAACTATAGACTACGGCGGTGTCACTGATTAGAATGAATTTGTAACTCCCTGATAGAATGCAATCTGTTCCTTATTGCACTACATTAATTTTTTTTGAATCTTGTAAAGGCAAATACTTGCCGATTTTGGGATGAAAAGCATTGGGATTCCTTTCGAGGCAAAGTTTAACTGCCAATGAGCGCTCCTCTTCGTGCATGAGATTGTTGTAGCACTGAACACAGTTACAATTTTGACAAAATTCTCCATTCGCAAAACAGTCGCAATAAAGTTTTAGGCATTGACTTTTTGTACAATTACATGGCTTCTTCGTCGATGCATGGGCCCTGCAAGCAGACGCCACATTAGATTATACGTCCTTTGCTCTCACAATGCACAGAAACAATTAACTACGAGCTATAAAGAGGCTATAATAATATGCTCAGACTTGAAAGCTTGTCTTTTCTCAGAAAGAGATACTCACAATGGCCTTTCATATTCGTAATCGGAATCGTGGGCCGCTTGCTGCTGGGCTTGTAAAGCAAACGTGTGTTGTCCCTGGGCTGAACTCTTTACGACGACAAACTGTGGAGTCGCTGTTCCGACAGCAGCTTGTTGTACTGTGACCAACTGTTGGTGCGGCGATATAACCTGCGTCGTCTGAGGTTTATATATTTGCTGCTGTAAGGTGGTCGTCACACGAGGAGCTATCTTTTGGGGTGAGCGGGTTACCTGCACTGTTGTCGTTTGCGGACTTGGCAGCGTTGTCTGTTGAGGCGGATTCTGGAATACCTCCATAAGCTGAGTTTTGCCGTCGGGTCCGATCGTTGGTTTCATGTAAATAACCTGCTAATGACAAATAAAAGAAAGCACAGAAAACAAAAAAAAATCTGTATAATCCATTCTCATCACCACGATTTTCAACTGTTATCGTAGATAATATCGATCGGTTACAAGCAAGTCATTAATAATAATTCCCTGAGCTTGCAAACTCGGATCAAATACATATGCAAGAGTAGTATTTTTTAATACATGAATTTTAAATATAACTTAAGCTTAACTATAATAGTTGTATTTTTGCTCGTAGTTGCCGCTCTCACTTGCTTCTGTTGAGTGCCGATATGGTGGTGGATCTGTTGTTGAGTCTGTTGCATTTGGTGCTGTTGTTGTGGAGGTGCTCGAAGGACAACCTTTTGTTGCTGTGTCTGTATTGCGTTGACGGTATCCTGATTATTAGCGGGTGTTGTCGTAGTCGCGTACGAAGAGGGTGACTGGACAAGCAACGTTTGACCGCCGATCTGGATCAGCCGCGGAGGCTGTGTAGCTTGAACGGTATGCGTTGCCTGCACAGCTGGAGCGGCCTGGCTAGTGACTAACTGCTGGTTACCCTGTCCGCCAGGCTTCGTAATCCAAACAATCTTTGACTTTGATGACTGCTGTCCGAGACTGACAGATCCTTGAGAAACTTGAACCTGCTGCGGCTGTACCTGCTACGCGTACGAAAGCCCATTGAAAAAAATTGAAATCCAATTACTCCATTCGAAGACGATATATCTCATTGTGATATAGAACTAAAAATTTGTTTAATGCAAGTACATACTAGACACCAACTTAATTACCAAGCGTTTCTTTGATAATATTGTGTAATTCTACTCATTATACATACATCACAACAACGCCATAGTCAGAAGTGATATGGACACAATGCGAAACTTCGCTAAAAGTTGTTTGGCAGTTAAATCATAAGTGGACGTATAACAAAGTTGCCTGTAGAGTACTTAACGAAAGTCCCTTGCAAAATTGATTTCTGTTTAGAATTTATATAGGATAAGTGGTAACCTTGGGGTCTAGATCAGATGCCTGGAGCAACACACGTACTGTATCACAGCACTTTGTTTTATGGTTAATACTAATAGATTACTCTAAATCTTGGATTGTACAATACTCGGAACGTACCACTTGCTGAATATGGTGATGATGCTGAACTTGTTGAGGAGGTTGCCGAGCTTGAATATGGTGGATCTGTTCACCCGACTGTCCTACTGCTCCCCCCGTCTGTACAACGTATACCATTTGTGGACCAGTATGTGACGCCGTCCTGGTTATTCCTCCGACAGTAGCGTCCACCTCCTCCACTTCGGCGTCTGCATCTTCATGTTGTTGAAGAAGAACGGCTCCGTCACTGTGTTCCATGAGTACAACCTGTCCATCCTCACCCTCTATTAGTTGCCCGTCGAGTTCTTCGCCCTCAACGACTCCTCCATCGCCTTCGACCACTATTGCCTCTTCATCCTCAGCGCCCTCCATAACCGCACCTGTAGCTTCAACGAGACCGGTACCTTCTGTGTCAGGGTCAACGTCATCCTGCACAAGCACATGGTGTACCTATTTGAAAAAAATCCATTAGAACGTGAAGACATTTGACACGTTTTATATCGTTCACATATGAGAGAAAAAATAAGTACATTTTATATACAGAGGGTAGAGAATCCCTGGGATGTATCTGTGAGTTGTTGAGTAAGACTCTATTTAAATACAAACAAGAAAGAAATTTTTTGCATATTCTAGAAGTGTCATGCATGATTGGTTATGTTTATTTAATACAACGACAATTCATTGCAATTATATCTTCCACTTGGACATAAAACACGTACTAGTAATTTTTAAAATATTCCTTCTTTAATCCGCAAATAACTTTTCAATATTAACCGTGCTATACTACTAAGTGCAAATACGTTAAAGTGTCACTTAAACTACACAAAAAAATTTCCAGTAAAATTAAATCTTTAGTTCATAGGGTATAAAGGCTGTTAAAAATGCGGGGCTCAAAACGGTCAAAAAGTGCAAAAAGACACAGGAAGTCTTAGAAATAGCAATAATCGAGTTTGAATGATCTGGTTGGCTTTCGATGTTTTTTCCTCTAAAACTGCCGTCTATTTTCGCCTCAAATGTAGTTTTTTGAGCCGCTGTTCTTTTCCAGCCTCTCAAATATAAACCATAATGAGGGTCTTTTGATTTGTTTTATGAACATTTCTTAGAAGCTAGATGAAGATTGACAACAACGCAAGACGTCAATTTCGGGCAAAAAAGAAAGTTTTAAATTTCGTTGACGCTTACGTGCACCCTGCTGAGATCAAAGAATAGTCCATTTTCACTCAAATCGCAGAAACAACGCACTGCTTTAAGTCATGAGTAGTTTGTTGTTTTGTTCTAGAAAGAACAGCCTTTCGTCTAGTACCAAGAACAGCGAATAAACACCTACCACCTGCCACATTTTAACACACTTTAAATTTTCTACCATATGTATATATGTTAATCTAACTACAATACCTGTCCGTTCTCGTCGACGATCTGCTGTACCCGTTGGCCTGGGCCAACCGCATGTACTGTGTGGTCACTATGGTCCTCTGTTTCGTCCACCTCATGCACCTCGTGAACCTTATGAGATGAAGAGCAATCGGGTCTAATTAATATGAATAATATAGGGTCTAATAATATAGGGTCTAATTCTATGAATAGTCCTTATTGACTATGCTATTGTGTTTTACTTTGGTAAGCAACTAAAAGGGTATGCAATAGTTATCACGCTTAGAGGACGACTCAGACAGATTGGTTAAGCGAATAGATATTTATGTCATTTTTCCATATATCCATACAGATTTATATAGTAAATAAAACGAAAAAAATTGCAAAATGCTTCCATCGAATGCAATTTATATATATAATAGAACACGTCATTCAAAAGTCCAGTTATTGACCTAGAAAGAGACACTGAAACGACATGTTCCTGTTTCATGTACTTTAGTTGTAGTAGCTAGAGAAGTATTTTGAATCACTTTCATAATTCACCTCATGATGTTGTGTTGGATCTTCATGATGACTGGTTGTGTCATTTCCGCTGTCGATGGGCACATACTGAATCAGGTTACCATCCTCATCTCGAATCAGATTACCGTGTTCATCCGCTTGCACTTCAATGTATTCGCCTTCGTCCTCTCCAGCACCGCCAGCGCCTCCGTCCGTGAGCTCGACTAACGTACATTAAATGACGGGCCAAATTCAATTCGAAACTAGTGCGTTAGAGCCGAGCTATTGTCAGCGAAAAGAGGTAAATTTGAAATATGTTCGAATGTGCACAGAATAGCATCTCTATGTCTGTTGACAACATCTTGACAGAAAAATCTTACGGGTAAAAGGCTGTTCTACTAATTCGTATTTGCCCATTAACTCAATAATATCGAGCGTAAAACCTGTGGTATTTTTGTCTGATTTATACAGACAACGGCGCCAATGAGGCTTCTTTTTCCCAATACAGAGTTGACACATCCATAAATTCACCACAGCGAAAGCCTGTAGCTCCAAATGATAAATCTGCGTCTTGCAATAATTAGGCCAGGTCAACTGCCACTATATAATATCGCTTTTTCATTGGAACACAAAGTAGACAGATATGCAGGAGAAACGAATCGCATCTGAGTGCTAATGTAATGCCTACTTGGTTGGTTTGTGAAAATAAACAGTTTAATAATATTTTCTAGATATGTATTTCAACATTCTTACTATAGATTCAAGTCATCTTCTTTTTGTGTGTAGAACTTGAGTCATTCCTTTTAGACAAAAACATACCTCTCCTTTTTACCGACGGAAGTTTTACTTAAAATACTCTATTAAGGCGTGGAAAATTGATTGTACGTAGAGCTGCAATAGTAGCTGGATATACCTAGCCTCACAGTGGGACTAAACATTTCGTTTGTTTCTTTACTACAATCATCGTCACGCCATCTGAACGTTCATTTAAGGGACAGACAGCAAACTTTTGCGAATACCTTCTTTGCGCGTTTTGTGTCTCAATGTAGTGTTTATTGTGTACGATAAAGTATCTAATAGGTTGCTGCCATTTGAACTAATCTACTATGAGCAAAAGCTGAAAGATGTCGCATTAAGCAGTTAGTGGATGTAAATAAAATTCAGCTCCGCGAGATTTAGTTCGTCTAGTCAGTATTTCCAGTGAACACAGAGATTTGAACAAACATATGCTCCTACGTTGCATAGAAATGCATGCGCAAAGCTGAACCCCAAAAACTCTTTAGTCTAATAAATTCCAATGATTGTCCTGACTTCAGAGAAGAATAGAGCATATGTCACAAATATTCTACTCCTGAAAGACGCATAAAATAAAAAGACTACAGAGAAGACTCAATAAATATATAAACTAACTGTAAAAAATTAGAGTGTATAATGACAAACATTTGGACGTGACACTGCATTTGTATTTATAACCCCAGTCTGTCGCAATATCCCGTAAACAAACTCAACAAGAAGTCACTCTTTTGCCTTTATGTGGAACACACGCGCTTAGGTGCCGTCAATAAGTTGTAGGTATTGGTTAATTATTGAATGAAACATAGTTAAAATATTAGCACTTGTTCAACGACGAAATAAGCGTAACTGTGTCATGCTAAAAATGTTAATTCCAGGTTAATATCATTTGAGTGACTCAGTCAAGATCAAATCCTATATCTAATGTGGACCGATACTTGTACATAGTTTTTCGTCGTTTAAATAATCGACATTGAGTGATCGTACACAACTAGTACTCTAGTTCTACATGAATCAATCATATACTACCCCTTCCCCCGATAGACCCCTCCCCCAGGTGCTACCCGCGTTTTCGAATCATTGACTATAGAACAATGTGTCTACGCTTAGGTGTCAACATCTGCTACTGCACTGTAAAAACAACATCTACACTGGGTGCGCCCTCACCAAGATCCCCTAGCGCCTGTTATGCAGCCTCGTTAGAGGCATCATTGCACCCACTGCATGTCCGTATGAGAGAATGTTATGAATGTCAACACCAAGTATCGTTTCAGTGTTCGGGCATAGTGGAGTCGAGTTCGTCTTTCTGGCGTCTACGAAAACGTCGACTTCGGCGCAGGTCCGACGTCCAACATTTGTCACCGGCCTAAGCCGGCTGTCGACGGCCTCCGACATCCTGCTGAGCGCCCGGTAGCAAGCGGCACACTTAAATTCGAATCTTCCGCGGGGTTGCGGCAGCATTTCGGCGCCAACCCTGTGCAGATCTCGGGAAGCACCATTTGAAAAATGCCGCCCCCGAACGATGCGTTTCGGCGCGTCTTTCAACGAAACTCAACTCAACCGGTCAGGCGACGTTGTGACGTTTGCGTCCACGATGCACCGGACTCACCTGCTTGGCCATCGCCGACATCCTCGGCTATCTCGTACGTGAATTCCGTCTCGGGCTCAGCCTCCATTTTCAAAATACGAGCACACACCGCGTGATACACAAATGCAGATTCCACTCACTGGCTGGCTACGGTGCTCAAACGAATAAACGCATTTGTGTTGACATCCGAGCTGAGGCACTCAGCTGGGCCGGGCGGCGCTCGCAGCACTGGCAAGGGCAACTGAAGTTGTAGGAAAGAGCGAGTTACGGAGTAAGAGATGGGCCGTACAGCTGAATCATAGGGCGGCTCTGTGTTAAGGGAAGAACATTATAAGGAACCGAGAGAAAGGGCGAACATGGGAGCGATAGGCGATAGCGATAAGCCTATGCATACACGTATAAAGAAGAGAAGACGTCGGTAAAGACTATATATATATATATATATATATATATATATATATA